GCACTTTTCTCAATGCGAATATGCTAATATGCCGATTCGTCACACGCCGGTTACAATTCAACGTTAAATTGAATGACATTCCGATGGAGGAAACGGCTCGCCTCTCGAATGGCGAGCGTTCTCCCTGTCTACGGCTTTTCTCCTCGCCGGAACGCGAGTCGAATTCACGTGCGCGTCGCACACGAAGGAACGCGGCGGAATATAAATCTCTGGCGGATTAATTTACGAACGTAAAATATCGGGCCGATCAAAACAACACCCCCGCCGGCGGCCGGTCGTTCCGCGAGGCGTACATACGCAAGTCGCGTCGGGGTGGAGGAGGAGGGACGAAGTCGGAAGGCCGCCGGGCATTATTCTTGCAGATCCGCGACGCGGCGGCTCGCGGCAGCGGCGGCGCAGAGCGCGTCGATAAGTAATTGCATCCAATCTCCCTGGAATTCGCTTTCGGGCCGAGTGCCGCGACGACGACGACGACGACGATGGCGACGGCGGCATCGGCCGTTCCGCTTCTTCCGCGTCTCCTTCTCCCGCTCGCTCCGAAATTTATTATCGGGGAGGAGACTCGCCGCGCGCCCCGATGATTTACGAACGGCCCCGTGCCCCCGCGAGCGCTTTTTCTAACGTCTGAATTTATTCGCTGCGCGTCGCGACTCCCGCGCCGCCCGCGACCTCGACGCCGGACAAGCGCGAGCCATTATCTTGCGGAGCGATAATTTTTTTTTCTTTTTCTTTAGAATTAACGAGTTGAAAACGAAAATTTCTCGCGCGAGCTCACCGCGTGGATAATTGACCGATCGATTTTGCAGCGGACGATTCCGATCGCATACATAAATCCCCTTCTTTTCCTGCTTCTTTTCCCTTTCCTCCCGCGATCGTTTGGTTATTTGGTCGATTTTGTATCCGCGGATTATGATTTTAGCGTGTCTTATCTCACGAGATGTATACGCGCGTTCTGTCAGAAGCGGCGATGGGGCGGTGGCAACAGCAGCGGCGGCGGCATGGCAGCAACCAACAGCAGCGATGGTATCGCATTCCAAACGAGACCCCAGACACTTTAGCCGACGCTGTCGCGTGTCTCGGGACGCGGCGCGCGTTATTTTTCTCCCATCCGTGTTTACACACGCTCCCGTGCAAACACCTTGCCCGTATCGCTCCGCGCGGCGATTGGTATGCGGCTGGGGAAGGTCGACACTCGAGATCTGCGTACGCTGCAAACGATAAGTATCGACCGCGACCGACTCCGCGCGCTGGCCATTAGACAGATCCACTCCGATCGCAGGCGCGCCCGCGCGGCGCACCGCGAGCTTGTTTTATTATTTTGTCACAGCGTCCCGCGAACGTGAACTCGCGCATCGCTAAAAAATTATATAGTTATACTCAAAGAGGAATAAGAGAAAGAAAGGATGAAAATGTGAGACGTCTCTGTCGTCAAGTCAGAATTTAATTCGCCGATAAACGAGATATGACTCGTATTTTCTTATCAGGGACGTATTAACGTCGAAGTATTAACGCGTCTTACAATTAGGGGGAAATACTTAACAAAAGTCTACATTCTCATGTTGCGGCACGTTTGGAGGATTTAGCGAATTGGAGTTATCTCTCCTTCTCTCTCCCTGGCACAGAGGACGGGTAATTCTCGCGGCGTGCAGCACGCGGTCGCCGGCACCGATTTCATTGAGAGGTTTTTCTTAACCGCGACAAGATCCTTGGAAACGAGAGCGATTACGAAAATAAAAGACTTCGCGGACGTGCGTCGCTAAGAGAGCCAGACGTGAAATAATATTATACGTCCGTCTCTCTCTCTCTCTCTCTCTCTCTCTCTCTCTCTCTCTCTCTCTCTCTCTTCCTCTCTATCTCGATATAGAGAAATGAGGACACTTAAGAGCCGCGGCAAGCTGCAGTCAATTCCGTAATTGCTTCTTTATCGTGATCTTCAGAGAACCGACAGAATTGCTTTATTACAGGGCTTTCGGTCTGCTTCCAATTTTCCGAGTCACATGCGCCGCCCGCCGCGCGTCTCTGCGTGTGGCGTGGCCCACATTTAGTGACTGCGCTTATTGTATCGCGCGCGCACGTCCGCTGCGTGCGGGTCGCGCGGGACGCGCACCTCGCGATTCTCGCTCGCTTCCTCTCCGACGCGTTATCCCCGTGATGATTAATCCCTTCCCGCGATAGCGACGCGATCGTCAGAGTGCTTTTACTTCAACATCGAGAATTCCGACCGGCCGGAGCGACAGGATTTAATAACGCTCGCTGTATTAAATTAAATTGTCCATTTCCGTACGCTCGAGTCTCGCGAAATCTTCCCGGCCTCGCAGATCACTTGGAAACAACTACCTCTCGGACGCGTCGAAACGAAAGCGAGTACTTCTCTCCTCGTACGCGATTTCCTAATAATCCAGACGATATCCAGTAATGACAGTCGCCTCTCGGGACACCCTGTATATCCGGCGGTATCTACCTCTTGCCGTTGATTTCGCGCTTCTGGTCCGCGGCGCGATAACTCGATGGGGAATAAAACGCGCAACGAGCGGCGACGGCGGCGGCGGCCAGAAACTGCGGAGGGACCGCAGACGATCGCAGATAAACATGAAAATTCGACGGCGACGACAACGACGACGACGACGTCGACGACGGCGGTGGCGACGGCGGGCGACGCGACAGGCGTCCTTGCTCCAACCACTCGCGCTACTACCGATGACGTAATCGTCGCGATACCCCGCAATCTTGGCGCCGCGGTAAACTCGTAATATCTATTTTTATCTGTGGTGGAAGCAAGGGGCCCCCCGATTCCCCGCCGCCGCCGTCGCCGCCGCCGCCGCCGCCGCCGCCGCCGCCGCCGCCGTCGCCGTCGCCGTCGCTGCCGCCGCCTGCGCCCCATCTTTCTCTTTCTCTTTCTCGGTGCGTGACGCCGCTTCACGACACACACGCCAGCTCGTCGTGGAGCCGCGCGGAGAACAGCCAAGCCGAGCCGAGCCAAGCCCCGCGAGAGATGTCCGAGCGGGACCTCCCGAAGACCGAACGATGTTTATTGCGGTCGCGATAACGCTGTTTTCGGTCGCGTCGCGCGTCTTCCTTGCGACCGAGCTTCCGGATCTGTCGAATTTCCGACCCTCCTCGGCCGTCGAGGATTGGGAGCTCCGGTCGTCGATCGCGTTACCGATCATCGGCAAGAGATCGTCAACGTGCGGAGATCGTCTTCGACGGCTGCGCGCTAGGTGACGCGAAATTACTCGTTCGCGTCGCGGTGGAGCGTGAGAAAAAGAGAGCAAGTAAGAGATTGACGTCGAGGTATTTAATTGATGCTAATTCTCCCGTAATTGTGACGAAAGTTATCTCGTAGATTAATTTATTAATACACAAAATTCCATTTTATATAAGAAATCGTATTAATTAATTATTTGATTATTATTTTGCATGTTTGAAAGAATTAAAACGAACGCTCTGATTTATATTGTATTATAAAACCCTTAACATATATCAGGAATTGACGTTGTGATTATTAACTGTTTTTTCCATTTTAAACTTAAAATGTACTTCCATATATCATGTTACGCAACATAATTTTATTTGCAATATCAAAATACAATATATGATGTTATTAAATATGAAATAAATACAGTGAATAAATGTCAAATCGATGAGAGGTGAAAATAATATTAAATAGATAAAGATAGAGGGAAAAATAATTTTAAATATTGAATGAACGTAATATTTAAATGTTAAATCGATAAGAAGAATAGCGAGAATAATACCGAGATCGTAACAATGACCAAGACGTGCCAAGACGTTTGACATCGTATCGTGTTAACATTAATCCGTGACCGTCTCATGTCATTGTATTCTTAGGCTCGGAACACAAATCGGCACTCGAGGTTGCACCATCGGTGCGATGCACATCTTGCGCCTTCCTCCGAATTTCTTACTTCGCTCGGCCCGCCACGTCCGGCCTGCGGAATCCTGGCGCCGGTCCCAGGCGGCGGCGGCGGCGACGACGCCACCGGCCGCCGCGCCGGGAGACGCCGTAACGACGAAAAGCGTGGGAGATCTGCCGGCGTGCCTTTGTATCCACCGCCCGCAGCTTCTTTTCCCCGGTATAAACCTCTTTACCGGAAAAGGCCACTCGTTAACAAAGATCTCCCGAAGGGGCGTCTCTCTTTCTCTCTCTCTCTCTCGTCGGACCGACATCCGGTAGATAAACATTCAGAAAATTTTTCGTGCGTCTCGACGACGTATTATTTTTGACAAACACGATTAGACGAAGAACCAACAATGCTGTAATCTTTTATGGTCGTAATCTGGGTAGTGATAAAGCACTTCTTTCCGGTCGTAAGGCCGGTCATGCTCGATACATACGACGTCCATTTATTTGCGGACATGACGGTGCATGTAAAATGGATAGTTTCGGAGCGTCCAACGATAGCCTTTTTCGTTGCGGATCAGCCAACAATAATATTCTAATCTCGGAAGTCTCGGTATTATACTTTTCGACTGAACAGAAGCTCTGCGTCATTTGTTTCAAAATACTTTCGACCGGTATTTATGCATCTGTGTCTGTGTGCTACAAAAGGTGCCTTAATTATATGGTTAAAAACCATAAATTTTCGAAAGATCACGCTCCACAAGAATATTTGTAGAATTTTTTAAATTTCTTTTTGTATATACATGCGTTAGTTTTTATATATGCACCACTCCACATTATCTCGCATATTTATCATCACAATTCCATCTTATTTTATTTAAAAGGAGAAATTCAATATACTATTTGATGCAATTGCATCGATTGCGGCCTTTTTAATTCGCGAGTGGCGAAGCGCCGCGTGTACGCACGTAGGATTGCGAGGGGCAGCGTTGAAATAAAGAAACGCTGTACGCTTGACGTGTCGTAAACGATGTAATGTCATTGATCGACGGCAAGCGATAGTGGACGCTTGGCGCATCACAGATTAGCAAAAGTCTTCACACCTTAAAAGTTTTTTTTTTCTCCTGATCGTTCGCAGGTGAGACGGGACAGAGGGAATGGTGCACCCTGGCGTACTGGGAATTGGGCGGTCGAGTCGGTCGTCTGTATCCCGTGGAACTATCGACGGTGAACGTCTTCGACTCCCTTCACGACGGCGACGGCCTCTGCCTGGCGACTATGGCCGAGAATAACAATGCGCCGCCCGCGGTCCAGCGTACGCGCAGCAAAATCGGCCTCGGTAAGTCCGTTCGTACATATCTCTTTTGCTAAAAATAAAATTGTTCTTTAATTCTTGCTTCTTATATACACGTAACCTTCGATTTTATTGTGAAAAGGAAATGTGTATATGCTTGAATATAAGTTCTTATAGATGATTTTCGTAATAATACATATGAAAAAAAGAGACAATATTTTATCGTAAAGTGCGCATGCAATTTCCTGTTTTTAAAAGGCATAATAAATTGCGATAAAATGTCAAGATTTCCGACAGACGTTGGGATATAAAAAATAAAATAAAATTGATTTTTTAAATTAATATCTATTCTTGTCTGAAAATATTTTTCTATCTATAAGTATAAATATCTATAAGTATAAAGAATTAAAAGTATTTTATATCCATACATATGTAGCTTGCAAAGATGTCAAAATTGGTAACTAAGGAAAATCTTGTCTTTTGTCGCAGGGCTAACGCTCAGCCAGGAAGCGGACGGTGTATGGGCGTACAATCGGTCGGAGAGTCCGATCTTCGTGAACTCGCCCACCCTGGACGACCCGGAATCGAGGACGCTGCTGGTTTACCGGGTGCCGCCGGGTTTCTGTCTCAACATCTTCGACCGCGCCAAGATCATGCAGCTTCCATACGGCGGCGGCGGCGGCGGCGGCGGTGGCGGCGGCCAGACCTCCGGCTTCACCGCCTCCGGCCCCGTCGACATTAACTCCGTCCGCATCAGCTTCGCCAAGGGTTGGGGACCCAATTATTCGCGGCAGGAGGTCACCTCCTGCCCGTGCTGGCTCGAGGTGCTCCTGGCGCCGTGCAGGTGATCATCCCCAAGGCTGGCCGGGCCGAAGAGTATTGTCAAATCTCGTCCTCAACTCGCGCCTCTTGCTCCTCCTCGTCGTCATCGTCCTCGTCGTCGTCGTCGTCGTCGTCTTCGTTGTTCTCGGGGAGGATGATCGGTGATAGTGATGCGCTGACCGTGGCCTTTAGCTCCGTCCTAGCGAGAGCTGTGTTAATAATAAATTAATAAAAAGAACACGTGTGTGTGCGCCGGGGGCGATCCCTTAGCGGCGCGCGCGTGCCGGGATCGCCCCAACAACCCCAGCAGTCTTACCAAAGTACACGCCGTCAATATAATACGTTTTTAGAAAAAACAACATCGTGTTCCGCTTTCGTCGGTAGAACGAGAGATGGGAACGAGAAGAATGGAGATTGTTCGCGAGCGTGTTCATCGAGCGCGTACGAGCGGAGAGATTCACATCGAGATTCATACGAATGGGACTTATGATCTTTACGAAGCGTGCGTTTGATTCTTTTCCCCCTTTTTTTAATTTTATTTTCTAATCGATTAAGCGTCGATGCTGTTCTCGAGATTCGTGTGAGAATTTCCGACAGAGGAAGCAGAGAGAGTCGGGCTTCCGATAGGTCTAGTCACTTGCGTTTACGGTCTACGCGCGCCGACTCGCGAATTCGCGTGTGGATTCTGAATTCAGCATGGCAGGGAAAAATTCTTAGTCTCGTAAAGATGGAACATGAAGCGAGAAGTAACATCGACGAAACAGAGAGGATAAACAGTACGTAGATAAAGAGTAATCTACTCATGATCGCTCTTTGAGAAACATTTTTCGAATAATCGCTTTCAGTTGTTACAGAAAGAATTCAGAGAACAGCAGGGATTCATCGGCATTTAATAATGAAAGAGAAAATAATTACTCAATATAATAGCGCAAAAAATAATTGAACAATCAGCTGTTCCTAGATTTTTTGTAAGTTACAAACAGATTTATAAACTTTTCCGTACACTCGTTATATTTCGTAGAACTTATGTTATTGATGAGAAAACTAAATTAACGTTAAAAACTATAAGAACTGTGTAAAAATAATCATTGAGTTTGACATATATTTAAATTTTTTTAATTGTACAATCTTGTATAGAAAATTTTTATGCAGATTGCAAACTCTTTAGGATATCGTTATTTTAATGATGTTAAAAATATACAAAACGAAATTAAATCTTAAGTAACGTAATAATATTAACCGATCAATCTTTACGTTGTAAATTGGTTTTCATTAATTGAATTAAATTTATCGTTTATTAATTTTAATTTGAGTACTCGTGCCCGCTGCAGTGGCATAAGTTCTATGGCGAGTCCTACGTGAGGGGACCTGTTGTACTGAATCGAATAGTCGCGCGTTCGATCCAAGATCGAAAGCGATTGACGTGCCACGGGAGTGTCCTGGGTGTATCATCTCCGATCGTCGTTCGGTGCTGTACATACGTATAGTACATGTACATACACTGTGCCTTCCCAGCTTCCCTCCTTGGTGCAGCGCGTACTCTCTCGGGAAACAAAAGTGCGCCACGTGCCAAGCTCGTTTCGCACGAAAAAAAGTAAAAAAAAAAAAATAATTACGCCTCCTCGTTCGGAGCTTTGTACTACAGTAATACGATGTACTGTGATAAGAGTTCGACCGCGAGTCTTTTCTTTCTTCCTTTTTTTTACGATTGCGAAGCAAGCGAGACAATAGAGAGAGAAAGAGAAAGAGAGAGAGAATTAAAACGAGATACGTTCGCGTATAACGGTTAATTAACGGAGGAGTTTCGGCACATCGGAAATGAGGAACGAGTGATTATCGCTAGTATTCACCCATCTCTCGGCGTGCTTAGCCGCCGCTAATTATCGAAACGTTTCGACCGAGATGAAGGATGGCTGTCTCCGTGTGGTTGCTTTTTATTTTCTTCCGAACGTCGCTGCCTCGCCTCGTTTCCGACGCGCGGAAACTTCCCTCGAGAAGAGAATTGTACACGTGACGCATATATATGCGGACGTTTGTTTTTTTACATACTCTGTAGATATACGAATGTACTTGAAAGAGGGAAAAAGCGCGTACACGGTGTTCAGAACAATGTGTCTAAGTGCATACAATGTAAACGTGTACCAGTCATACGTATTCACTCACGCGCATACACGATACACATATACAAGCGTACATCAAAGAACACACATACACATATACATATACATATATACAATCGACTGATCGACCCGTAAGTTTTTTCGACCATTAGTTTACTTTCGTACTACCGCTTTTATCGGACGTAAAAGTGGCCGTTACTTTGTAATAAACGATCGAACGGATTGAGAGCTACAAGAAGCGATATATTGTGATGCGTATACGCCGCTTAAATGTTATATATTGATATGTATACAGAGACGTATACAAAAAGATGTTCATAGGTAGCTAACTGTAATGTGAGAGGGAGAGAAAGGAAGATTGAGAGAAAGAGAGAGAGAAAGAGAGCGAAAAAGAGCGACAGTCGCGGGTTGGATCATTGGCGAAAATAATTGTAACGAGGAATGAGAGAACGTCCGCCGGGGCGCAGATTGTTCACTTTGGACGACTCCGGCTTGCTTTTCGTAGTCCCTTTTCCCGCGCTGTTCCCCAACACGTTGTTGTGGTCGAGGTCCATCTATTCGTTCCCCCCTCCCCCTCTTGTGCCGCAATTAAGAACGTGCGCACCGCCTTGGAACGCGTTTGAAACCGGCGTTACGTGCCTCCGTCCGCGTGACGTACGAGCGCGGCACATTCGACGATTTACGAGACACGTCGCGTCCGTGTTCCTCGAGGGAATCCGATTACAAGTAATTTAAGTCTATCCCGACGCCACCGTCTTGAGCTCGAGGTACCAATATCTGTCAAAGACGTTCGCGTCATCTTTACATCCGTACTTCTAACAACGTTTGCAATAATTCAAAAAGACGACCAGTATAAACTCGATAAGAATAATTTAACAGTAAAAGAGAGAGAAAGAGAGATGATTAATTGACGAGAAACGTAATACGATGCGGGGATGTCGGTTTAGCCGATAAATGAATGCAATTCGTGTGGACTTTGTAGATCAGCCGCGGCGTATAACACGCATACGAAATACGTAATGATTCATATTTGTACCTCTTTGTGCTCGTTTTATCGCGCTCAAGCCATCCAAAGGAGAGAGCCGTCGCGGCCGTCGCGCGTTAGGAACAAAAAGGAACTTACGAGGGCGTATTCTAAAATTAATGGTAGGACAGTCCTACGACGTAAATACCGCTGCGGGGACGTCCGGGCGTCTTCTTCTCCCCCTGCGACATGCCTCGTCGCAACAAATGCGAGAGCGATTTCTCCTTCGTCTCGGGAATTTCTCGAGAGAGAAACGATCGCGAAAATGCGAAAAAATCGTGTAATATAAATCTACCCTCCAAAAAAAAAAAAAAAAAACGCGAAACTTTGAAGGAGAAAACGCAGATTTATGCTCACAGAAAGCCCAATAGCAAACTCGCAATAATAAATCTGTTTAATGAATTACCGGAAAAACAGGCGAAAAAATAAATACCGCGGTTTATCTCGTTGTATTCTTATTTTTTTTCTTCTGTCGAATCTTTTGTCTCTCGTGTGAATTACAAAATTTTGCCGAGTTTCGTTTCTGTTTGGATTAATTTTTACAATAGAACGCTATTGTTATAATTATGCTTTCTGTAATCGCTGTCAATCTCGCCGACATTCTTCTATACTGCTCTACCTTTCGTCTTTTTCGGAATGTCTGTAGTTACAAAAGTGTTACTTGTAGATTGTATCTGTACATAAATATAAAGTGCGGAGAAATCTTTCGGTTTCTCAGATGATTTTCGTGAATTTTTGTAGCGTCGTAAAATTGGAAAATCGAAAGCACGAGTACCACACTGATCTTAAGTGAAAAAGGAAGTTCAAATGTGAAGTAATGTAATATACATCTTCGACAAAGATTTTTTTTTTTTTTTTCCAAATAAGAAAGACTAAATACATCTGTTGTGTACATTCGTAAGCTGCGTGGAACGTTTTTGCATTTCGACTGAAACATAGATTCATCTAATGCATGAATATTGTCTTCTTTCACTCTACCTCTTTGTTTTACGTTCTTTTTCCTTTCACGTCCTTTCGCGCTTCGCCCTTATCCCCTTTTTACCAATAGTTTATCCCCTTTTTACCAATTCGCTTTTTCCGTCTCTTGTTCATTTCATCTTGATATTCTGCTCTTTCTCAATTTCCTGTGATCATCAAAAACAATTACATTTCGTCTAAAAATAATATTCGAATACCTACATTTTCTCATTTTCAAATTATATTTTTTTTGCTAATATTTTTGTAACGCTTTTCATTCGAGGTTTTTGTAATGTAAAAGTTAATCTGTATTAGATATACAGATTAATATAACTTCTGTTATGTCTCGTAATGAGAGAGATTGTTACGTCGGCAAATGACTGTTTATCTGAAGCGCGTCAAGCAAGACTGAGAGCTTTCTGATTAAGAATAATTTATTCTTACGCCTATCCGCCGTGAGAGATTTATCTCGTAGCGGGTACGATTGGATTATTGGCTTTCGCCAATAAAAGAGCCCGGCCACTTGTTCGACGAGTTACCGTTTCTCTCGGGCGACGCGACGTGCCATTATCCAGTAGTAGTTAATAACGAGAGAGAGTAATAACACTAATGTTAACGACCGAGCGACAGTTAGAGCCGTTTTCTACTACCGTCTACTAACTCACACAACTGCTATCGGCCGATCGACCACTCCGCACTCGTGTCTGTGGACTAGGGTTTAAATAATCTTTTTAAACCATAGACATGCAATACGATAGTTCCTCGTTAGCGAGATTAGATGCCTTCGAGTCGCGAGTGTCTCACTTAATTAATGATTTATCATCGCGACCCGAGTTCGATGAGAATTTTTCGCGCGCGGAGAGAAAAGAAAAAAACGAAAATACGTGACAATAAACGGAAAGAGATTGCCGGGGGGAGGGGGGTTATTTTTCGTGGGGAACATTCGGGGGAGGTGTGGAACACACACGCGAAACGCGGATGAGCCAAAGGTAAAATTGTGCAAACGAACGAATGAAGGCAGCTGATTTCCCTATTAAGGACCCTACGTCTGTGAAACATAGTGCCTTTACATAGCCGTTCACTGTTACATTTAATTAGCGTTTAGAACGAGAGAGACACAATTAGCGATTATCACGCGTAAATACTGTTTACGGATAAGTACTGCAAGCGCTTCGTCGGTACGGTATTACTTACTGCCCGTCTTCGAAAAACGAAAAAAAAAATGAAAGAAAGGCATGAAGGAGCCCTTTGCTCGCGTACGTATCTTTCCTCCTTCCAAACTCGCTGATCCTCTCTCTGCTCTTTTTTCTCATTCTAAATTAACGATATACACCGGATGGACTGAACTTTGATAAAAATAAATAAACAAGAGAGAAAAATTTTTACGTATTTAGATGAATTTCGACGATTTCTGTCCTACGTTCTAGGGGTATACACTTTACGCCCGCGTTAGGATGTAACGAATAAACAAATAGTGCCTTACCACGAGATACTGTGCTTTTCGAAAGTTCAAATAGTCGGGGAGTAGAGAGATACGCTTTATAACACGGACGACTTAGACTTTTTCCGATCGCGGAGATACGCGCCTCGAATCGTAATTTTGCGAAATTGATTTTAAAAATCCACTCTTCGCCGAAGAAAATTTATCAATGTCGATTGTCTCTTGGTCCTCAGAAGATCGATTAATTTCCGGAAATTGACATTTCATCGACGAACTTAGAAACTCAAAGAAAAAAGAAAGTGGCCTAAGAAGAAACGTTTTTCTTTAGTCGCTCGCGTTCGATTAAGAAAAAAATTTCCGAAAAATTATAGTTAATTCTATGATAACGATAAAAAAACGGACTTGAAAAGTCTGGATGAAAATAAAGAGAGCATAAAATCTTTAAATTACATATTTTCATTTTTCGTAACATAATTTTGGTAATCGTTCGCTGTAACGACAGTTTCGAAATTCGTCGATGTGAATATGACGATATTGGCGAACATTTTTGTTTAAATATGATTTCCGACTTGGAATCGAGTCACGACGAGCGGAGACTGTTATTTCGCTTTAATGTTCATCGAAAATCGTTCACGGATGAAAGAGCTTTCGACATTTCAGGCACCGCGATTCCTCATTTTCAAATCACGCGCAATAAGATATACGCAACAAAAGAGTATACATATATTATACATGTAATTGGTGCGGAGAGGAGTGCACAACGAAGAATCGAGATAAAGAAAAAACAAACATTGCTATATTGTACGCTGTATATATTGTACATAAGGTGTGCACGCACGCGCGCGCATACGCATATATATTATACATACTATGTATATATTATGTATTACGTCGTTGGCGACGACGATAGTAATAACGAATGGTAGTAACGAATAATAATAATAAAAAGAAAACAGGTACCGCGAGTAAGTGCGAAATAGCGTAACGAAATAACGATATTATTAGGTAACTCCCGAGAACTCACAATATATATTATTTTCAATATCATTGTATTCGATTCCGAAACGAGAGGTAACACGCTTACCGAGCGAACGTGATCGTGTGTATCGAAGATCAAGGAAGTTCTCTCCACTCATTTTTACGAAAAAGAAATAAAACAAATATACGAAATTGCAGATTTGTATCCCACGTGTTGTTAATTATCAATCACGTCCAACACACGTCCTGCTTTGTAATCCTGTTTAATAATTTAATCTCTCGTTATTATCATATATGTGCATAGTATTATCGTTGCGCTATAAATATTGACATCATTATGTTGTATATTACGCGGGTATAGATTGTTCTAATTTCGTCTCGGTGAAAGAATAACGTGTAACGTTTTCGCAAGAGAAATTTGATAATTTTTGCAATTTTGCAAAAAATACTCAATGAAAGAAGCTCTTTATTTTTTAAGAAGATGTTAGCCGGATGAAAAATCAATTTAATATCAACACAACACGACGATAATAGATTTTTAGGCTCCTAAATGATGCGTAGTATTATTTACTGTAATACACCGTCATGGAACGGACGTCGCGGCTTTAAATGCACGCTTTATGATAGGTACGCCATAAACATTGGGTGATTAAATCCTAAAACTCCTGCGGGGCTTACCAGGAAACGACACTTAATCCGTCTCGCTTAGGAGCTGACAGATAAGTATTTTCCATTCGCCGCACGATGATTAGCGCGTATTTGCCGTGCGTCAGTCTGTTCCCCTTCGGTCGACGCCAAGGTATAACCGCGATCATGATTGTCGCGCCCCTTTTTTATGTGTGTACGTGATACTGACGATCAAAATACCTCCTTTGTCATACATTTTTATTTCTAAACATACACATTATCGCGACGAAAAATCTCGCTCGTTACAACTGCCTCGTCGTGTGCGACGAAACACGCGACATATTACATGCCACACGCATATACAATACGAGTTATTAAATACTGGAATAATTATTTACAAGTGACTTGGTCGATAAGCGCTCGGTGCCGGAGATCGTAAGAAAACGAACGGAATGTCTCGCCGATCAGTGAAATCGTCATTGACGAACCGATGTTAAGTTAATGACTGATAAGAGATGGTTCGCCATTCAATTTTTAATTAAATAAGTATTGAGAAATTTGCTATTTCTCGGTGTAAGTTGATTGGAAATAAGTCGCGGAGCGTCGTGATTTCACTGTACGGTGTCGATGCGCAACGCGATTATAAGAGGCGCATAGACTTTTATGCGAGAACGAATGCAAGGAAACCGAGAACTTGTCGATCGATGCTTATAATTATTATTTACAGATGAGTAGACACTGTCTCACATATTCCAGGCTTTGTGCGAGTTGTTGCACATGTCAAAGGAATAACACTTCAGTTGGACACTTCAGATTGTTCCCTTCCTAAATTTGACACGCGTTCGACACTTCAGATTGTTCTCTTTCTAATTTTGACACGTTGTCACGTCTGTTCTTCGAGGATAGACATTCACTTCTTCTCTTTGCTTGGTATCAGGAAGCACAGCAACCCGCCAACTGAAAAAATCGATTATTCATTTTTTATCTAACCGATTAATTTTTTTATTTGAGTATGTACATCACCAAATTTCACTAACTCTATCCCCGTTAAATTCAAGTTTTAGAGACGATATTCAGTAAATTTCAGTAATAAAAAAATCAAGATGAAGTCTCAATCTTCTCTGTGCGATACCTGATCCGATCGATTTTATTGATGTCATTAAAATCTTTTTCCGAAACGGAAAAATTCATTGTACTCACATATGGAGATACCGGCCACCAGGAATATTGGGATCTCGCAGCTGAGATCCAACAGCATGCCGAACGCGAGATTGCTCGCCACCGCGCCGAACCTTCCCAGGCACACCATCATGCACACCGCGGCGGCGGACACGTGCGTAGGAAAGACGTCGACCACAATGCCGGCAATCACGAAATTCGCCGTGGCCGCCATCAGGGAGAACACGCACGAGGTTATAAGGATCTGCAGCGAGGATCTCACGAAGTACATACCGAGGCCAGCGGTACCGGCCACCAGCATCGTGGTCACTGCAGAGGGAAGAAACCGTCGGAAACTTTATTCTCTCGTTAGAGAGAGACAAACCCGAAGAAATTATGAGTTCTAGCAATTAGGGGCAATTCTAGCTTCAAGCGTATATTTTCTAATCACTGTATTATTAAAATTCTGCTCCGTTCAATGAAGGTAGTTCTTACCCGGCATTGTTCGACGGCCAACTCGATTTGCCAGATACCCAGAGGCGACATTGCCGAACAGACAAACGGCGTTGATTGTCAGAGAGTTAATGAACACTCGTTCGTCTATGTGCGGCTTGCACTCCGTAGTGACTCCGTTCGCCAACAGGAGAAACGGCTCCTCTGGAATAGTGTGATTTAACACCTGCGTGTCGTGTATCAGCTCGCAGACCGTCACGGATGAATTCGGATGCGATTGATGGTAGTTCTCGAAGCGATTGAACAATTCTGGTTGCCAGAGATTAAAGCCGTAGTACCTAAACGATAGATGAAAAAGATACTTAGGGAAAAATACGTTTTAATATTAAATTTTTTATTATAACATTAATTGTGATAAAAAATAATAATATAAAAAAATATAGAAAAGAATATAGGTTTGATATATACAGAAATAATTTTCGTTGATAAATTTTACAAAAAAATCACATAATTCTCTCTTCTTTAAATACTTTTTAAATAAAATATATCTTGAAGAGGAACAAATTTTTCGAAAATTCGAAAATTAAAGGCACTCACCCGAACATGTTCGTGAAATAAATTGTCCACAAGAGAACAGCGTACTTTAAGTTAGGTGGCGATGCAATTGTGCGTAATTGCCACCAAATATTTTTCAGCAATTCCGTTAACATATCCGACGAGGATAGTGGCGCCTTGTCCTTATCTACTTTGAACACGGCGTCGGAAAGAAGTTCTTTCACCTAATGTAGTAGAGAGAAGATACGTCGCGTTAATTAAGAAAAGAGATGACCTGAGCACTCCGCAGTTAAATCTGATAACGCTATTTGAGGAATAAAAATTATTTCTTTCCGGCACTCACCGGAAACTCGCTTTTATCACGTCCGGTGTTCACCGCGTAGATCGTTCGGAGGATCTCGAGAGCCTCGTCGGTCTTGCCTTGCGACACCAGAAATTTCGGGCTTTCCGGATAAGTCAAAGTTATGGCGGCAATGATGAAAGTTGGTAGGCTGACAGCGCCGAGGAACAATCTCCATGAATTGTACCGGATGCCATAGATATCGAAGGATATCGGTAACGGTATGATTATCCATGCTAAACCTGAATGAACGAATCAATAAATTAACATTGGTATGGTCTATATATTCTCCGTCATTGTGGCACATTTTCTAAGTAGAGCAATTCTGGATTTTCTTGTTTATCGATAATTAAAAAAAAAAAGGAATCATTACCAGGTAATATTAACCAAGCGAGGGTGAAGAAAAAACCCAGGAAGCAGATGCTCTTCGCTCTATACCTTTCCGCGTGGAACTCGCCGAGGTACATGTACACCAAGGAACCGGGTCCACCCATCCTAAAAGTAGTCCAAAAAAAATCGTACAAATTAAAGTACGATTAGAACGACACGTCTCAGCCAGAAATGGTTGGTCGATCGACGTTAAATCAAAATGTCGATCGACGTCGATTTAACATCAGTCGACCAAACATTTCTGGCTGAGATCTCACACATTCGCCGTTTTATTACTTGTACTTACAAGAATCCGCTTATGACTCTGAATACTAGCAGCAGCTTGAAGCTCTGCGAGAAACTCGCGATCAGCGTAACGATACTGTCAGAGAAGAGGTTTAGCAATAGAATATTTCTTCTTCCGTACGCACCCGCGAAGACTCCCCAGAAAAGAGCGCTGATCACGGAACCTGATGATCAAACATGCATGATTTCATTAAAATATTCTAATACTTACATATTTTTTAAAGCGAAATTTACATAAATTATTTCTAATATTATTTACTATTCGAAAATTGTGTCTTCTCATGCAAGGCCACGTCCAGCGAATTCTCTCACAAAATAGTAAATCACGCGTGTTCCATAAATGAGATATATCTCATGGTGTAGAATAAACAATAGGCAAAAATTAAACGTGATCATCTCGTTAACAGGATCGTCACTTGATTTGACCGTAAATTATGTTTTCAAGTTTAATTGGTCAAGTTTAATTGCGACTACGCGACGATAAGGAGCGAGCGTTTTACTCGCGTCGTCTGGAAGACGGCGGATTAACTTTAATTTGCGTGCCGCGACGCGAGAGTGGGCCGCCGCAGAAAAACCGCGGTAGTTCATGCTTAATTTGTCGTTAAGATAAAGGAGACTTCAACGCCGATCAAAGGCACGTTCTGGGAAGAGGAATTTAAAAATGTGTAATTACGTCGAAACGTTTGAGGATACAAGCGCGGTGAGTTTAAGAAGCTCCGCGATTTATATGTCATGACAAATATGTCTCGAAAAAGTTTACCTATGAGGAAGGCGACGTTCAACAGCCCCTTCTCCTCGGATCTCATGTTCAGATCGCATTCGGCTGACGGCAGGATGTACGCGTTCGCCCCGTACTGACAGCCGACGCAGATGAACATCACGCCGCAAACCAGCAGGAAAGTGTATTGATATCTTCCATTTCCTGCGAACGATCGTGGCAAATTTCAATGTAGAAATCGCGAAAATTAGGTTTTTTAATATCATTTATTTATATATTTATCATTTAATAGAACACTGTCGCAACGAACTTACCGCATATCTCCATAGCCTTCTCGAAGTCCGCGGTACCTTCCTTGGTCCCATGGTCCTTGGACTCCTTCTCTAAAAAGCAAAAGTTCCTCGTCGAGAAAACGTCCTCCGACAACAATACTTATAACGATATTTATAACAATGCGATAAATGTGTAAAGTTGGATCCTTTTTGCATACCCAGCCTGCAGAAATGATATATTTAATTGAATCAACGTCGACCCGATGAATGATCGAATACTGTCTGACATTTTTAACATTTTTATCTTCATTATAATTATTTTTATGTTAATTTATTAATTGCAAATATTTAAATTAAATTTGTGAAGGAAGACTCCTATTATCTTTCGGTCAATTCTACATCAAATACAGTATATGTTATGCTTTAATCCCGACTTCGCATTAATTTTAGAATTGGCTAAGAACAATAGAAATCTTATAGAAATATTCACAATTGCTGAATTAACACAGAAACAGTTTATGATGAGGTCAAAGATAACAAAAATGTCAATCAGTGTTCGTCGATCATTTACCGGCTCATCGACGTTGATTCGACTAATTATTTCAGGCGAGTAAGACCTGAGATATCTGCGGCTCGTACACGTAATTCGAGCTATCTCGCGTTATCGACATACGCGGCGAGTACTCACGTGAGAATTCGCACAAGATCCGAGCAGAAAATAGATGTTTTATAAACAAGCATGCATCCGTTCGGAGGGTACACCATTTACGTTCCGTTTTTTTTGATAAAGCGGCAAAATTTCGCGATATGTCACGCACATAAACTTAAATTGATTACGCACGCCAAAATTTTTCCTACGTCCGTCTTCACGCGTTAAATTGTGAAATTAAAACGATGCGCGTTTCGTAACGTGGACGTGATCCATTTGGCCGTAATTTCCATGATGAAGGTGCATGCGTATTTCCAGCATGCGATCTCGCGAGGGAACGTCGTGAGAGGTAGCGTATTAGCGTATCGACTTTTTTTTTTTCCACGCTGAGTCGGAGTTAAGCAAATAGACGGACGTCAATAGTCACCGGATTACACAAGTGCGTGTAACTTATCAGTGCCTTCATTAATTGAGCGCAATATCAATCGATAAGGGATTCATTGCACGCGTCATCGTTTGAAAGTAAAATAAATCTTACCTATTATTACGCTCTATGTGACGCAAATTCAACACACGTCAAACACTACGATCTTAAAATTACAATACTATTTGCCGTGATGTAATCTTAAGGGCAGCTAAACGACAGCTGATCGCTTCTTCCATACAAACAAAAAATATTTCCGATTTGTTCACTATAATTATACGATGATCCGTAATCTTCGCAAAGTTGTGCATCACCGTGATTAACTGCAGCATGTATCACGGTAACGGCGGTTTCCTCTCGTTATTCAGTTATTTTCCTATCAAACTATTCTAAACAATGTTACCTAGGCGCGTGTGTGCGGAGATATTAACTTGAAATAGAGGGAGAAGATAATAAGATTTACGCGGACTAACACAGAATTACGGCGGCTTGCTTCTGACTTTACTAATTGACGCAGCGATACCGCTAATCGATGTTAAATATGCGGAATGAACTAATTAAGTCTTCCTGAATCGAAGCTTTGCTTCAAGCGGGGTACATCGCGAACTAGGCGTGCTGCGTAATGTCGAAAACGCGACAAACTAATCTCGGAAATCATATACAAATCGCGTCAAGGATTACACCTACAAAATCGCGGACGGGATGAAAGGACGACGACACGTGTAATGTTAAAAGTGCAGCAAATGAATTTATTTTACTTCTCATGAATTGTATTATATTGTTGCATTATGTTACATCAAGAGCATTTTAAACTCCGCAACGCACGAGAGAGATGCTCTATGTCATTGCTCAAACATTTCCAAGTTTGTTCGCGAGAGAATTTCCACAAGAATTTCCGCGCTTTGTTGTCATCATAAAATTTTGTTTGACGATTTGCGTAGATCAACGTTAGATTCGTTGCGAATTTTGCGACGTAACGGGATTCCCCTTAAATGTCGTCGTTCTCGATTCTATTTGCATAAAGATTTCGGTGTAAAGTCGCGAAAATGTGTGCGACGATTTCGTCAAGTTATTGTTATTGTGGCACTCGCCTCTATTTCATCATCCGTATTTGTTAAAACGAAACCACGCGCAACATCGTGTTTGCTTTATGCGCGGAGGAACGTTATTTTCCGATTGTTTGATGCAAACGCGTAAATCGGTATACATTGCGCCGCACATTGACGTAAGAGCTTTTGTGGACCGCGCTTCTTTTCTCGCTCGGTTCTCGGCAATTCGAGAATAATTATCTCGCGTATAATATGTGGAATGTGTGGTACGCGCGAATACTTTTGCCGTTGTTTCTCCGTTCGCTGCCGTTATATTCGCAAGATGTAACGGCAATTTGTCACGGCAAATTAAGCTATCTTCAGAGTCAAATTATTTCAGCGCTTTGCTCTCGAAAATTTCCATACGCGGAATATGCAGCGTAAATTAGTGCCAATTCCATTTATCGCGCCAAGAAAAGAAAAATGCAAATAAAAATGACGTGAAACTAAATGGGCCCGACGAAGAGAAGCTAGACATTAATCGATCGATTACACTGTAATCGGTAAATTAAAGCGGTAAATTAAAGCAGTATGTAATTTATAGATGAGTAATTCTGCTTTGTCATTTCGGCGGAATCGACAGCGTAGCGCAGTTATGTTATAGCTTGCAATATTTTATTTTGAATAATTTTTATGACTCAAATGCAGGTATATTTTTTAAACAATATTTTGAAACGAGCTCTTGAAAATGAAAACGTTGTGATAATTGTGTAATTGTATAAGTAGGAAGGATCGAAGAACTTCAGAAATAACATTTTTTTAATCGCAGAGAAAACAATCGATGAAGCAAAAAGCTTAATTTCCACGCTATTAAAAATTCATATCAGGTTGTGAAAAAAGCAGCGTTATACCTAAATTACTTCATCAATCATTCACGCAGTACGTTCATTACAATATTAGGTATGATAATATTAGGTCGATAATATTAGATCGACGTTAGTGTTAGATCGACGATAATGAGAAAAGCTGAAGAAAGATCTTTTCTTTTTTTTTTTTTTACTGAAAAATATATTTAGTTTTCCTTGACATTTCTTGTCCTGCTCGCGTGGAGAAACAAGTCGAAAACTCTTGGCGCCAAGCAGAATAAGCGACAAAACAGGAAAACAAACGGTGTCATTGGAGCAATTTTAAAGAACCATGCAGATATTTAAATCAGTTGGCGATGCCCAAATACATCTCATGAGTTTGTGCCAAACGAGAAAATAAATGAAAGATAGATTTCAACCCCTCTGTCCCATTCCCGCCGATTGAAGCGCGCCGCGCCGAAGTCACATTAAATTGTTAAAACATTCGAAGTATCTCAATTCGATTAATCCGAGATCTCTTTTTAGCGTTAACAGAAACATTCCACGAAAGTTTTAATTTTTGTTTTCAAGATCAATTCAAAGTGTACAATGTTCATTTATAGCGAATTCGATTGGACGCATTAAGTGCACAGTAATACCGTTATACAGTGTTCTAAACTCAATGTAAAAGTGAAATATTTTAAATAATAAAATAACCAATATATATATGTATATATATATATATATATATATATATCGCACATCTTTACGTCGATTTGTGTACAACAGTTTTAATGTGTACTATATGTGCACATTGGTGCATCCAACCGAATTCGCTATTAGATTAATTGCAACGCTTTCAATTGCGTTACTTTTTTTGGAACATTGAACGAATGCCATTGTGAAAATATGACTGAATTACGAGACTGACCTATTGAGAGGGAGATGGTGGAGATGCGGCTGACCATGATGCGGCGCCCTGAAAAATTTCCAAGACCAGAGAGTGATCAGGAGGTAGAGCTGCGGTGGCAGAGGCACCGGTGGTCTAGTCGGTCGCGAAGAAGCCTAATCTGCGACTGTCGATCGTGGGTGGTACAGAAACGCCGGTTGCCTCTCCCTTGAGACTGTCGCTCGTCGATGACGATGGATCGACACATTGATCGGTGCCGTCGTCGCGGCGCTTTAAATATTACGTTACGCGCGAGCGGGAGAGCACGCGATCGGCGCGGGTAGGCGCGATCCGAAAATCCTTCCCCACTTTACCGCGCGCGGCCGATCGCGCGATTGGGGGTCGCGAACTCGTTGTTCCACGCGAATGCACCTGCGTCGCAGTAATAATTATCTATTATCGTAAACGCGTGTAATATGGAATGTCTGATGCAACATATATGTTATATCGCGTTAAATTTGTATAAAGATCCAATTTGACATTATGTACTTTATTTATTTATCACCATATTTGCTGTTATCACCTTTTTTATATAATAACTGGCGCGACGGCACATGTAATTTTTTTTACGCAGACCCAAAATTATTATGCTGTGGGCATTCGCATTAATCCTCGAAAGCTTTATCATTTTTTTATGTAAGAACGTATGCGTGTAACATATATTTGATTTATAGGAGCAGTTATAAATCAAAGTGAAATTTATGTAGAACATAACAAAGACTTTTTTGAGACGTATATCAAGATTTAAGCTTAAAAATAAGAATTATTTCACATTAAATTAGAGTATTCTATATTTGGAACGAAAAAAGGTGGTTTGCCTAAATCAAAATGAAATAGATAAGAAAGTGGGACATGTGATTTCATGTAAATACTCGAGTTCGGCATACTAACGTTCCCTTGAATTTCGCCGCTTTTTTCACGCATCATTAGCCCGATGATCTAAATGTGACTCCTAAAAAAAAGATACATATTCGCCCGTCGCACGTGTGGATCTCCGTGTGTGCGTTAGCGCGGCGTAAATCGCACGTAGTAACGAAGAGCCCGAAATTAAGAGATGGTGCGCGGCGATGCGGTAAAAATGACTCGACAGAACGGATAATAGATTTGTTTAATTAACTCGTTATCCCAGTTTACTGTCGCGTCAGAAAGCTGTTGAGGAACCTGTCAGCCGGAAAAGTCAATCCGCGCGTGATCGGTCCGACAATATTTGCTTTAATTGAAGACGAATCAAATTGTCGCTCCGCGCGGCCACCAACGGCGGCGAACATTTTATAAATAACCGCGCTCGCGATCGCGATCTCGCTTAGGGCGCGGTACGCGCGCCGCTGGTGTTTTCCTCTCCTGTACGATGAAGCGCGCGCTCTTGGCCTCCTTGCAAGCCTTCCACAAAGGGATGCCCTAGCGAGCCTCATTATTATTGACCGCTGGAATGCTCCGTAACGTCATGCAAGTGTAACGATTAAAGATACCATGTACCCTTTAGACGAAAAATTAAAAGTTAAACATTTGTCTTATTTTAAATATATCAGATACGTATATTTATTTCTTGCCCAATTATCTGTCCAATACAGATTACATTTGATTTGATGAGACAATTTTTTTTTTCTAAGCTGTTATGAATTTTTAATGTGACGTGTGACCTGTTTACTTCATCGATTGATTTCTCTCTGCGATTAAAAAACGTTATTTCTGAAGTTCTTCGAATCTCTCATTATGGATAACGTTTTTTTCACCTATCCTTAAGCATGTGGAGTTACAGCAACGAGAAGGTGTGTACAGGCGTTATACACGTAGGTGCCAGTCGGGGCGACGCGAGCAATTACAAGAATGTTTGCCGTGGGTGCGGTTCTTCTTTCATTAAGGGAACCAGAAACCCTTGAAGAGCGAAAAATTGACGTATGTCCGTTGACCTGAGAATTAGGGCCGGATCGATATCCAGTTCAATTGTCGTTATCTATGACAACTACATCTGTATCTGTTTTATATGTTATTCATACATACATCGATATACGGAATCCCACTTTTTTAACACTGAGCAAAAAATATTTAAAAAATTGATTATTTAAATTAATTCAAGCGCGAGCGAACGAGTAAGCGTGAAACAAAAAGAGAGATATAATAAGTATTATAAACACGTAGAAAATAAAATGAAACGAGAAAGAAAAAGTGAATGCGTATGTATAAAATATATATATACATTTAAACGAATAAAATATGTATAGAAAAATAGTTCAAGCTAATAAATTAACGCAAACGAAAACCAATATTTAAAATTCTAAGCTTCTTAAAAACTTTAACTTAATTCTTATTCGAATTTTTTACTGACATTTAAAGAAATTTAAATTTTTACAGAGTGAAGTACTATTGCTCCAGTAGTGGAATACTACTGGCGGTAAAACTGCCGAGAGCTTTATCAACCGTAATTTATTGATTTTCCGGAATTGAATTTTTTTTAAATTATTGGTAAAATATAGATTAACTAAGAGACAGCATCTGTAAAAAATAATTTCTGAATTTAGATTTGGATAATTAAATAACATATATTCTATTTTTATCTTTTTTATTCTACTTTCTATTTTATCAACATGAGTACTGACCAATTTAAATTGTGGCATCCACTACGTGGTTCTGAGAGACATAGTAAATTTAGATGGCGTTCACATACGTGAACCAGTGACATAACGACGGGATTATAACCTAACTTGATCAAAACACAAAATTTTGTAGGATCGGAATTGTGATGAGAGCGATCTGTTTTTCCGAGTTTTTAACGTTTTGAAAGGATGGCTGCTGTGAAATTCGGAAAACACATGAAAGAGTTGAGGATCTTCCTCTGCCAAACGTCCAAATCTAGTCAAGGCGTTAGGTAAAAAAAATTATAAGGACAACGAGTGACATTCTATTCGCGCTCCGAATTAATTTCACTCTCAATTTTTGTGTGCGCTCCTTGCAGAGACTTCATCGAGCAACAATACGTACCACTGAAGAAAAATAACCCGAGATTTCCTGTTTTGATCAGGGAATGTTCGTCAGTTGAACCGAAACTGTATGCGCGTTATGGTACGTAAAGATGTCAATCTGTCATTATCAATATCAAGTGATTTTACAAAACTGCTTTATTTTTTATTTTTCTTCTTGTCGACACAAATGTCAGCGTTCGTTTAATTCTCATAAATCGTCTTGCCTGTAAATGACTGTTGACTTTGCAGAGTATGGCGTGGAACGTAGCGTGCCTCTGTCGAACCTGAAAGCTGAAGAGATACTTGGAAAAGTTAAAGAACTGGCGTCTCAAAAATAGATGTACTTTATTATGTTAATGAATATGTGTATCATAATATGTATAGTGTTTTAATAAAATAGTATATCAATTGAAAAGCGATTCGAGATTGTATCGTCAAGAATCCATCAGATTTGTCTGGTCAATATTTTTCTCATCTTGTATATAACATAACATAAACATTGATACATAAGAAAGTACGGATTATAGACATAATTTAAGATTATAAAAAAATGTCAAGAAAAATTGCACAAAATTATCATTTTGTAATGAAAAAATATTTACTTTTTCTGTACTTTTTATATATGTAGATTAAACATATTCTGCAATACTCTCTTTACAGTTCAACTTAAAATTAAGAGAAAAATATCAAAACAAATAATGATAAAACTTAATAATATAATCAATAGATATGATCCACATATATATGAATATATCTATGCCAATAGATATATTTAATTAATATATATATATCTATGTAACTGGAACTCTTCACCGGCTATTAATAAACACAGATATCTATGGCACAGAGATCTTTTGTATGAGATGTGCAGCTGTATGTAAGTTCTCGATTTCAGGCAGTGATAACTCCCCTGTTGTATGAAAATATACATCTCCAGAACATAATACTCATATTATCTTTTTTTTTTTAAATCAAATCTATATACATCAGTCAGAGTTTATCAGTGCTACGGAAAACCTGCCTGCAGGCTTTTTGTCTTTCGTCAACAACTATTCGCTTCATTCGTAATTCATTCAATTCTAATACGTCTAATATTCTCTTTTGCGAGCTAAGGCAAATAATTTTATGCTGCGAATGGCGGTAGTCCGAAGTCCTCCGGTTTGAAATCTTCCAAACTTTTTAAAACCAACGTTGCATCCTTGATGAGGTGTTTGGGAAGCTGAGGATCTGGCACCATTACCACTTGCATGTTAGCAGCGACAGCACCCTGCACTCCGTTTGGTGAATCCTCAAAGACTAGGCACTACGTACAGACAGACAAATGCGATTTGAATTCATTTAAAATAAATTAAAAATTTATATACAAAACGAGCATTAAAAGTGCACAACAAACCTTTAAAGGATCGGGATTATCGGGGAAACGTTTCGCGGCAATCAAGAATGTATCTGGATGTGGCTTTCCGCGGGTGACCTCTGGATCGGAACCACCGTACACTTTGTGGTTGAACAGATCGAATAAGTACTGCCATTTCTGGGTTTTCAAATCGCTGCTCTCTTCACTTGAGCTCGTAGCTAGCGCGATAGGTATGTTATTCTTTTTAAGATGCTGCAGCAACCTCTCCGCGCCTATGTACAATTAAAATCAGGATCAGAATACGATGCCAAGTCACTCTTGTTTTTTTCTGCCTATATATATATATATATATATACATGTATATATAAAATAATTTACCTGGCATAAGATTACATTGGGGAAATAATTTTTGGTATATAGGAGCGAGCTTGTCCTCGAAAGTTTGCACCGTAATCGGCAGCTCTAGCATGTCTATTATCAGCTGCAGTGCCTGGGCACTTTTATAACCCATAATCTTCGCCTTGTGCTCCCAGCCATATGTTTTCCCGTATTCCTGAGTGACACAGTTGTACGCCTTTGTGTACAGGGATTCTGTATCTGTACACATTATAAAGAAAAGTGAATATCAGATGAGTTTTCTGTTTTAAAGACAAACTTTTCTCAATGTTATGAGTTATCACCAAAAGGTTTTCTCATTTAAAAAAAATGTGTCATCATGTACCGCACAGTGGAACCGACACTGGCGAAATTTTAATTAATGTAGAAATCGTTTTGTAGAATATAAAATTTGTGCAGGTATTATCCAGGAGAGTCTTTATTTACCCAGTAACAAACCGTCCATGTCGAAGATGCAATGAGTGACATTGTGGAAAACCATTCTAACCGCCGTCGATTCTCTCTTAGGTTATCGAAGGTAATATGCCGGATTTTCCGTAGGAATCTGTATTTCTCGAGGAGTACGAGAATTATCGTATTATTCGTCGAAAATAGGAGCTCGTGCGAAAATACGTTATCAGCGATACGTTTCAAATCGATGTACGTTTCCGCTCCGTGATAAGACCGCGACTAATACTTGTGCAATCGGATTTCGACATGTGGACACGGTATTGAGCGAGAGCGATACGAGATATCTCCCTCCCCCTCGATATCTGGCATTAATCCTTTTAAACCTCTCGATGGAAAATCCTCCGTCGTTTAGTTATCGATCAAGGAGAGAAGCGCGTTTTGCGCCTTTTACCTCGTAATTGTCTCGAAAACTATAAGTGTAAAATGTTTGTTATATAACATATGGATTACGTAAAATTTGAACGTATAATAAAAACGAGATTTCGGATATCGATGAAAAATACAAATAAGAATGCGCAAACGTTCACGGTACACATTAAATTGGAGGATACAATATACATTTTTATTACAAAACTTTTTACGAAATAATGCACAAAATGTGATGCACAAAGTGTATCTGATAATATATGTGGCTAAACAAGTATACAGGATGCGCCAAAAGCCTGGATACATTTAGATTATCTTGTAAACAATAGATTTATTTGTTTGATATCCTTATAAATTTTTGCACTTAATACGAAATAAATATATTTTTGGACGTTGGAGAAAGAAAAAAATGATTTTGTAGTGCAAGAAGAATCTAATTGGTTAATCAATTTTTATCGTTACTGAGGCAATGTGAATTTCATGTGTGAATTTTTCTGCATATGAAGAAAAATTGAAATATTTATCAAAAAAATGTAAAGAACTATTGGTGATAGAAACTGATTGATGATCGACTATCAACAGTTGAGAAGCTAGCAGACCATTTCACTATAAATCGTGAAAAATATTTAGCAATTTGTAATCATTGCCCCGAACGCGATCCACCGCGACGTCGAGTATGAATTAAAAATAGTCAAAGCAAGGTCAATTTTTAAAATAAAATCTACTCTTTACAGCACATTATTGTAACCGACGTGGAGACGTTTTCATATAATAAATCACAATTTCGTTAAATATTATTTAAATTACTAACATTACAAACGCAATGACAGCCGCTTACACGAAGCAAGCCCAGCAAGGCAACTGCAGAAAAACGGAAAAAAAAATTATAATAAATGCAAGTAATCGATTTTACACGCTTTTTTAAATAAGATTGGTTGACAAATTTCAAATCGACATTTAGCGTTATCGAAGGTGTATCTTGGCAACGCCACGGTCAATTAGATATTACTGTTCAATAAGTTTCTTTAACTCTTAAAATTATCTTTTGTTTGAAATTTTTTTAAAATTGCATTTTTTTACAAGATATTTAACTGTATCCAGACTTTTGGCGCATCCTATATATGTGTGCATATACACACAATTCGTAATCTAATATTATCAGTACTAATGTTACAATATAAAACGTATATAATCAATTGTTTTGCCTCTGGTGTTTGTTCTATACAAAAGGTTGATATTGCGTACTACTTATGCTATTATGCATTTACTAGTTCCCATGTTTTCGTGCCAATCCTTTTAGGTTCTGCGAAGAAGGATTACATGCGAAATGATTACTCAATTATTTTAATTGTTGTACGATTTAAATAATTATTTAATACAAAATTTATAAATTTGTCTAGAAGAAATGTAGGTGTAAATTTCCTTTCTTTTGCACCTGCATTTCTTCTGGGTAAATTTATAAATTTCTTATTATTAATACGTTATTGTCGCATGCTTTCTGATTCTCAATCGGCACAAAGACATAGTCGTCTTTATTTAAGCTTGGTCTTAACAAACACTTTTATCTATGTTGAATTAAATCGTTTTCCGTAACATTAGGAATGTTATAAAAGTTATACGACAAGTTCGTTGGCAAAAAATTCTGTAACACTGGCACTGTGTTGAAATACGCGTTTCGATCTCTGAATACCGTCTCCTGGGCATTACTAGTGACGTCCGATTGGAAAGTCTGAATGGTAGTCGTTGGAATAGTTTGGATGACTATCGGCTGTGATGACGAAACAAAAGGAACTGTTTGTATTACCTGTAAAAAAATGCTGTACAGCATAAAAGTAATCATTTGCATTAATCAGATGCATAAAAATTAACTTATCCTAACAATAAGATTCACCCTTTCTTATACATTTCAGTATTATGTTAGATCGTATATTGTATTGGATGCAGCGTGCTTTAACTTATTTTTCCCTACTTTAATTATTATCAATGTACAGTCGTGGACAGATCGGTTGCGACACTTTTTTTTATAGGTTTCTAATATATATTTAATAGACATAATATATATTTTATAGGTATCTAATATTTTGCAAATGCGAACCACGAGGTACTATCTTCAGTCTAGAGACAGTATAACACCAATCGTGGTTCGCATTTGAAAAATTTTAGTGTGTTTTGAAACCTATAAATAAAAAATGTCGCAACCAATTTGTCCACGACTGTACATTGTAGACTGTACATGTAGAGTGAAGTTGAATAACTCAGTGCTAAATGATGAGATTAGATATGCTATACAAGAATACTTTAAATATTTATTAATGAAAAACAAAAAAAAAGAACAAATTATAAGAAAAAATGAACTCGGTAGTTCTGCAAAGTGTGGAGAATCGATGGAGTGCTTATTCCTTTCCAATAAACAATTACAATTGCAATGAAACCAATTCGGTAACTTCGGCTCTGTGGGCCATGATGAAATGAAATAAATAACATTTAACAAATAAAAAAAAATTATATTTACTTGTACTGTCGTTGATTCTGTTTGAGGTATCGAAAGTGGATCCTCTGCAGCAGACTGCTGTTGCATCTGAGGCGGTTGCGTTTGCTCTGTCGACTGTTGTTGCTGTTGTTGCAATTGTTGATTATTGGTTAGATGCTTAGTGTGAGAGGTATTGATCCCATGTCGACGTTTCATGTGCTTATTGTAATTTGGCCAATTAGTGAAGTGATGCTGACACTCCAAGCAACTGTACGGACGCTCCCCGGTGTGTTGTCGCCTGTGTGTCTGCGATTGTGAAATAATCGCATTAAATCGAGAGAAGCGATTAGATTTTATAATGATGACTTACAGTCAATATCCCTTTGAAACGGAAGGACTTCCCGCAGAATTCACAGGTAAACGGCATTGCACCGGTATGAATTCTGTGATGTTCTCTCAAGGTCCCTTTCTCTCTGAAAGTTCGTCCACATACAGCACATTGATGCGGCTTAGCACCAGTATGCACCGTTTCGTGTTTCTTCAATTGTAAAGGCGTTTTAAATCTGCAATTTTATTATACTCTCTTATTCCGTGATCCTTATTTTAATTCCTTATTCCATCAATTTATAAAAAAATTTATTATAAGATTTGTAGACTTGAGAATAAAGGAATATAAGAGTGAGTCGTAATATCCATTTCAGAAACAATAAATTCTGAATTTTCTTTCCTTCATTTATTATATTTTTATGCTATTCCGAGCATTAAAAATATAGATAAGACAGGAAGTTATACTTAATTCATTAATAAAATATATAAAAAAGTATTAGACTTCAAAATGATTCACGATAAAGAATGCCAAATAAAAAAGCAATAAAGCTATAAATACACTAAACTTTATAGTTAAAGAAACAGAATATGTTTGCTTTTACTTACGCCTTTGTACATTGAGAGCAATTATACGGCTTGTCTGGTGAATGAGTTAGGAAATGAGCCTCTAAATTTCCTTTCTGTATAAAGCTCTTACCACACTGATCACACGTGAAGTTTCTGACACCAGAATGAATACGTTTGTGTGTCACAAGATTCGGTTTCGTTGAGAACCTAAAACAAATAAATTTTCTGATTAGCATATAAAAATTTCCTAAAGTGAAATTTAAAAACAAAAATAGCAGGTTATACCTTTTATCACACTGATCGCATGGAAATCTATTCTTCATGTTCTCAGGTAAATGGCATCGATTATGGATACATAAAGCACTTTGCTGCCTGAAAGCTTTACCGCAAGTTTGGCACACATATGGCCGTTCTTCGCTGTGAATGGTCTTATGAGAGTCTAATACTTTCTTATGTACAAATGATTTCCCACAATCTTCACAGCTGAAAGTAAATTAAATTATTAACAAATATATCGATCGTATACAACGATTTTACATACAATAATAATATAACAGCAAATGATTTTTACCTAAACTTCGCCTTATTCTTATGCCTCTTAACATGAGTGAGAAACCCGTAATATTTATCATAAACCTTGCAACATTGCACACACATATACTTGGCTTGTTGACTATGCACCGTTTCGTGATGCTCCTCTAATGCTTCTAGAGACGGTAATTTGTCATTGCAATCTGTGCATAACCAAGGATATCTATCCAGTCCTTCCGTTTTTTTTCTTCCATGCTTCGTTGCCTCCATCGCTCGTGTTTCCCTTATTACTAAATTTGATTCTGTCTCTACTTTAAAAGTACATATTCTATTAGAATTATGATAGATTTATAACCATTGATTTTTCACAAACACACACACACACATTTTTAAAGAAATAAAGCAAATACATTTTTTCATAGCTTAATCTGTCTTACCAGGCATATAATTATCTATGATTTCTGCGTTATCTTTCAAAGATGTATCACTTTGTGATTCCTTGTCTATTTGAGAAGATATATGGAGCTCCTCAGGCTCCTCTTCATTCTTTATCTGGCCCTTTTTCTTTAATTTTTTCTTAGCTTGCTTGAGAGAGCTCTTCTTTATCTGTATCTTACACTTCTTCTGCTTTGCGTTATCCTGCATTTCCTGAGTTTCGGAATTCGCGTTTTTATTACATCCTTCGATGAAGTAAGAAGTATTTAAGATATTGACTGTCTCATTGATGTAATTGCCAGGTAACTGGCACTGGACAATCTCCTCCCTGTTGTTGGTGTCGTTCTTTGGAAACTCTATGGTCTCCTCCACATAATCTATATTTGGTTCGATCGGTTGTGGTTCAGACTTTGGATCCCTCAGCAATTGTCTCAGAGATATTTGTGCTTGATTGGTCTTCTCGAAGAACTCGCTGCATTGGTTCAATGAATCACAGCAGTCTATGCAAACCGCGAGTGGCAAACCATCCGTTATTAGAACCTGTACAATTATATTAGTCATTATAGGTAAAAGTATATCAGAAATAATATTAATATAAATAATATCACACAAGAAGGGAATTAAGTTTAAATAAATTAATTTTTGGTGCATAAAAAATATAGTTTTATTATTCTAATTAAATAATTCATTTATAAATTACTTTTGCAAAATTTATGTTAATTCTTCAATGTAAAGAAATGGTGAATGAAACTAAAGTTTATTTCTAAGCTGACAGCTACATTTTTTTAAATTTTTAAGAGGCAGAATTTCTTGCTCAAGTACTAGGTAAATAAATGAATTTTCTAGAGATTTCTCAGATTTCTTAGATACACAAATGTAGCAGAATAAAGACATAAGAGTACATTATCTTAAATTTTTACGTACTTTCAAATTGGAGACTATAGGTATATAACAACAATTAAGTACTGATAGTAATCACAAACTTAATACATGGAATAAGGTACTATTCCTGTTGTGTACTCAAAATACAATTTGTTCTTAGATCAGGAACTACTTTCACAGGGGCAAAACGGAGCTGCCGGTTATCCGCGGCGACTGTACCTGTATCTGCAGGCACTTGGCGATCTTGGCCTCGATCGCGAGCTTCTGGCCCTCGGCGTCATAGATCCCGATGAGATTCTCCTTGGTCTCGGCGCACAGCCGGCAAAGTTCCGGCTCCGTCATCGTCGTACGGTGCGCGCGTGAGGTCGTCACCACTGCCACCACCGCCGCCGCCGCCGCCGTCGCCGTCACCGTCGTCGTCGTCGTCGTTGCTGATGTTGTTGTTGCGCGCGAGATCGTCATACGTCGTCGTCGTCGACGTCGCGCGTGGACGCATCGCGTTCACCACCCCCTAAGGCCGCGTGCGTCGCGCGCGCATCATCGTATCGCGCCGCACGCGTAGTACGAGATCCCGGGGACAACGTCGACCCGGGTGGTCGCAGCGGACATGTTGTGCCCACACGCTCGGCGCAACGATGAACGAAGGTGCCGCTTGGGGCGACTTGTTGCTCCCGCTGCGCGACGCAACCGCACCGGATCGATCACGCCGACCGCACCACCGGCCGGACACGGCACCGCACACTCGACGCGCACCACCCGCTTATCGTTCCCCCGCAGGAGCGCAGCGTGCGGATGAAACGCCGCGTGTATCCCCGTCGCTACTCCGCAGCGGTCCCACGGAAGAAATACGTATGTATGTACACACTCGGCGGAGCGTTTGTTTCGAGCAAAAAAAAACATCGGACCTTGCGAGCGCTCACGGCGCATGCGCGCGGGATCGGTACAGTGGGGCCTACGTTTATCGACAGTAATGTTCAATTGGTAATGTCGAGCGTGACGATGAATTGTTTTGAAAATTATAAACATGGCCGTGTTTTTTCGCGGATAGTCGTCGAGATCATTTGTCAGTGGGATAAATTAATCAAACATGCTTGAACATTTACGTCCGACGAAGTGTTACGAAACTAGCGAACAGTACTGATTACACGAAGATTAATTTTCGCTAGACTGAAGATATATATTATAGTATTCATCTAAATGCAGAAATTAGATGAGCTGACAAACGTACGTTTTCTCCCTTCCTTTAATTGTTTATCTTTTCGTTTTAATTCCAACAATGTAAAATTTTCTATTTTATTAGCTTCATTAAATCTGCTTTGTGCTGAAATGAAGAGATTTGTCAAGCAAGCATATATATACGTTGTCGACCGTCGTTTTCTCCTTGTCTTGTATGTACGTGTTTCTAAAAGGTGTCATTTACCTCGTCCAAATGCGTCGAGATGGTCGAGACGAAGGAAAGCAAATTAACGGTAAATCTGTAATTAAACAAAAGATATGGAAATCAACGTCGATTGTGTTCCTAAAGTAGTTTTGAATCTTTAAACAATCTTTACAAAAAATTAATTACATCTCGTTTTTAAAATTGATCATTAATTTTATACATAATTAATTATAAATTGATCGAGGTTCATGCAGCCAATTTCAAAAGCAACATATTTTTATTCTAATTCTAAATTGAATTTTTTCAGAATTTTGAGAATTTGCGAGAATCAAGCGTGATAAAAATTTCTAGCTGGGATCTAAGGATACAAACGACGAGCGTCAATAATAATCGACGCGCATTTACATTAGACGGCCCCGTCTAAAAAATGTCCGGGATCCGCTTAAAATTCAACGGGCGTGTTAGCGAAAGTCCCGCGTTTTCTCGTAAAGTCATCGACGTTGTCAAACGCAGTCAAACGGCCATCCTGAACAAACATATATGCAAACATGATCGTACCGAGCTGACACGTTAATCCATTCCACATATTTGCGAGTATTGCGGAATGTATATACTTTTTTTTTTTTACCGAGAGAACTTTTTCGACGCGGCGTTATTTCAATTTTCATGCTTTCGTGTGTACTGCCCCTTTCACTCGGCCATCGGCAAACAGAGATTTTACTTTCCACTTTTCACATAATGTACGCGAAAAGTAAAGTACCGTACTTGAAAAAAATATATGTATATATGTATTCTTAAAATCTGAAAATTACGTTGCCCGGCAAAAAGTTCTCTTGAAATTATCTTAGACATATTACTTTATCTTCGAAAACTTTAAAGAGTCCTTTAAAATTCGGCCTCTTTATCGAGTCGGGATGTACGTGAAACGCTTCGAACACGCGCGTGAAACATTTAATTCCGTTTCCTAAGTTTTCTACATAGAAAGTAACTGCACAGTATAGCCTTTGCGGGATATATATTGGACACGAGTTAATATATGTATATTAACTCGTATATAAGCTCGATTCTAACACCAGTTTAATCAACTCCTCAAGTAAACAAGTGAAAATCGAAAGCAGACATCCGAATGATTATGTCTTAGAAAATATCGCAAGGCACGATGAGCTCGAAAGAATCATATGCCAAATCATGACGCTGCAATGTTTCTAGAGTTTTAAAGTCTCTTCATGGCTGTCAATAACCGTTCCAAGCAGAACAATAGGTCAAAATAACGTCAAAATGGCGTTAAACTGAGAGGTGAATTTTAATAATCATTTTTGATGCCATTTGACGTCATTTTGATGCCATAATGACTTTTTGTTCTGCTTGGGTTTATTTTATTACGTTGATTCTACAATCAAAATGTCATATACCGCGCGTACTTTCTGCTTTCATGTCCATGTGATCGCCGTCGAATGGCAAACGGCGAAAAAGTTTTTTTTTTTTCTTTAATGCAAGACCTTTCAGTTTTACATTTTTCAGAGAAAAGGTCGAGAGGACGCATCGTTTTTGAACATCGCTTGAAGTATCGTCGGAAACGCCCGAGCATGACCCTCCTTGCTGAAGAAGGAGAGGAAGGGAGGGATTCACGAAATGCGCACAGCATCGTCGAGGTCTTCGTAGCGGGTGAGACTCGTGCGTTCGAAAACCGTGGTTCACCGGGTGGTAAAAGTACATGCCGCGATGTGTCCTCATTGTGTATATATAGGGGTGCCTGCCAAGAAGGCACTGCAGTTCTTCGTGGAACGTCTGCAAGACAACATCACAGTGAACCTGTCCTGTTAACTCGTTTCCTCGGTGAAGACATTCAATCGTCTAATTTTACGATCGATTACGAGGGGAAGAAGATAAGTAGTACTTTGGCAAGAAAAGAGCACTCAATTACTCGACTGATCGTGTCAGGTAAACTTATAACAGATAATCTTATGCAATTAAGATTATATTTTGATGATTTTATCAAAAGTTATATTACAAGATTTTGTGTAAAACGTTAAATGACTACATATTAGAAAATTTAAATTAATAGAAATTGAGCCAATGCGATTAAAATTTAAAACAATTGCACATATTTTCTTGTATTTGATATTTGGTGTAAAATTATTGGGAATAGATTTTACATAATAGAAATTATTCTAATATTTTCTGCGATAAAAAGCGCATGACAAAGTAAAGAAAAATAATATTTCCTGGCATTTAGTTGAAATAAATTATGTCAAAAAGTAAGGCTGGGCGTAAGGTACCACCCTATATATTGTATAACACCGGAACCGGTTTGAGAGTTGCTTCTTCACGAAAGAGTTCGAACATTTAAATCTACAGATAATGAAGAAAGCGCTAACGATCACGAAAGGATAAAAACGATTTTTTTTACTAATTAAAACAGATCTCGTTAATTATGACCATGGACAATATTAATTTTGACATTTTTTTAGTGACTGTAGCGTGAAAAGAAGAAAAATGATAGCACTCGCGCTTCTTGCCGCTTTGGTGACATTGTCCTCCGCTCAATTCCAACAACCCAATAATGTGCGAATTCTAGAAACGCCAATTCCAGCACTTTGCGGGCAAAGTAAGTTCCACGTTTACATTTATTAATGTATATTATGTATTATTTTTATTAAGATTTAAGCAACATAAAAACAGTTTCTGTTTTATATAATATAAAAATTGAAAGAATAAATGAAGGATAAAACATCCTTTAATAAATTAGTTTTTAAAACATAAATAAATTTAATTTAAATAAATTTTTAAAACGTCCTTTACTTATTCTTTCAATTTTTATATTAATTAGAGAAATGAGAGAAAGAGAGAGAGAGAGAGAGATGAAAATGTAATCGTATATAAAATTACTTTTTAATCATATTACTACTTAAAAATTTAAAGCAATTAATTCGGTACCGTTATTATTCTCGGCTGATACAGGAAGTCGCTATTATCATTATTAATTTTATGCCACTAGATTGGCCGTGGAAATCGTCAATTAGAGAATCTTTGTTAATCTTCCGCTGAGATAAATGATATGTTCCCGCGATGCTCGAAGATCCACGCCACAGGAGAGAGTCTTCCTGTTTCCCTCGGCAGTCATTCGGCTGATGTTTATCCAAGGGAACCTCGAACTAGAGAAAGTATTTTCAATATTAGATTAAAGAGAAGGCCGTGACCTGTGATTCTCCATGACGGAATTTCCCTCCTCCGTCTCCACTTCCTATTCCGTGGCTTCGGCCCGCCTCGAGATCATTGTTTACCGCCGTCTCTCTCGGCCCTTCAGCCATCCCCTTCTATCGCGTTCTCTTACATCTCGATACCATCTCTGATTATCGTGATCGTCCAGCATCTCTTCTTCGGTGTTCACGCTCGTTATAGAAAGTGTGACGATGACACCGACAGCGGTGTAACTCGAACGCATTTGAATTGGAAATGTCCGCGTCGTAAGTAGTACAGAATGTCAGTTGGCACTTTCACGTTCATCGTTTTCGGTTGGGTCGAAGTGCTGATAATATATCACAGTATTAAAATTGTTTACGTTTATCTGCTCTGGAATGGGAAATCTTTTGTGGACTGTTTTCCTTCCAGATCCTTCAGATTTTTGTGGGCTGTACTGCTAACTGAGCAAAGTAATTCGAAAATAAAAGACTAATCAATCGAATTTTCCAGTTTTCAAGAATGTATCGAATATACTCTAGAAAAAGATTAAGTTTTTTTATTTAAAATATTCCTGTTTTTTATCTTATTCTTATTTTTCGTCTTTATTATTAAAATAAGATGAAATAATTTTTTTATATATTAAATTTTTAATATATTTATATATTATATATTGTATATATTTTAGATAAAAATCTTATACAAGATCTAGTGGTAGAGGAGTTTCAAATCCCTTAATGTAAAACTATCGGCTGAAACGTTATTAAGCGAGCTTTTGGACTTGCAAGACAAAAAAATGTGGCACGCACGGAACCTTGACAGTCGATTATCCATTCGTTAGGCGTAGCCCGGCCATGCGCGTGCCAAGACACGCCTCATAGGAAAACTTTCTTTTTCTTTATTTAGAAAGTGACGACGTAATCAGCATACTATGCGGGTGCCAATGTCTAGGTCGTGACTGTGGTCGCCGAGGTCACCGTCACGACTGACACTAATTTCGCAACTTTCACTCCGGGAATGAGCGAGAGACCTCCCCGGGCTCTTCCCGGTAAACGTACCTCTCGCGATTCGAAGATATTCATAAAGATTACGCCCTATTGTCTGTTTGCTTATCTGATATTCGCTCCGTCCTCTAATTACGGTTCTTTTTGTTTCGCAGGAACTATTCATCAACGATTCAATGGGAAAGGCTATTATTTCTCGTGGGCCGATCCGCGGACGGCCGGACAGGAGGTGGATTGGCTGTCGGCTAGAAACTTCTGCCGGCATCGTTGTATGGACCTAGTTTCGCTGGAAACCTCCGCCGAGAACGAATTCATCAAGAACCGTATCGTTCAAGGTTTGGATGATTTCGAACCCCGTGTATTTGCGGAAGCGAAAGCAAGGGATGACGAAACGAAACGTTTCTCTTTCCAGACAAGGTAAAGTACATCTGGACGTCCGGTCGCCTCTGCGACTTCAAAGGCTGCGATCGGCCGGATCTGCAGCCCCTTCACATCAACGGCTGGTTTTGGACCGCCGAGTTGCAGAAGCTCGCGCCGACCAACGAACGTAGCCAAAACGACTGGTCCGAGAGCGGCGGGTAAGACTCATTGTTCTGTAAGACTCTTGTTCATGTCACGCATTCGTATAACGCTCGCCGACCTGTAATTTAATTTATGTGCGAAAACAACGCGTTTCCTATTCGAATGCTATTATCATATCAAGATGCATCGAAGCCGACAAGGTGCAAACGCTGCTTTCATCATTTGAGATCAAGGCTGTCGAACGGTTGTGATTAGATCTTTTTTTATCCGCTCCGTTGCGAATCCCTGTCATTATCTGCTCTGTAATCAGTGATCTCTGCATATACACGCACATTGTCGATACTCAAGGTCTAACGTCCTCGAATGTGCGTGACACAAAAAAAATGGCAAAAACAACAATGATCGTCTGCACGCATCTTGAAAGAATTGTTCTATTCTGAACAATGTGTACGTTTTTGTTTAGCATCGGCAGGCCACAACCTGACAATCGTGAGGCCATTCAGGGCGGCGCTCCCGAGAATTGCCTCGCGGTCCTCAATCAATTCTACAACGACGGAGTCAACTGGCACGACGTGGCGTGTCATCACAAGAAACCGTGGGTCTGCGAGGAGAACGAGTCTCTCCTGAAATACGTTCGTTTCAACAATCCCAATATCCGTGTGTAACGGAAGAAAAAAAAATTTTAAGGAATGACAACTTTATATTCGTTCGAGTAGTTGCTTAAGCATACCTATAAAGTTTACAATGTTCAAAAGCGGCACGCCGGTGAAGCGACTGAATAGTATATAGAATGCCTTATTTATTGTAATATTTAATACCTCCATATTCTCATTTACCCGAAAAGCACGATGAATAATCTCATTGAAATTTTATGCATTTGCTGACTTCAGGAAATATCACTATTTATATTTCTAGATGTAATCGTAAATACATGGAAGATTATATATTTAATAGATAGACTGCAGTTCAGGATTTATATATTAGTTTAGTTATAAAAAGTTATATATTATTTCTCTTAATATAATATTATACTAATTATATATTCAGATAGCAATAAATTTATGAATAATGAATAACTTAACGCATTGGTTTATTATTAAAAAACATTTTACTTATTATGCATAAATTTCTGACAAGTATTGTTAAATTGTCTGTGCACTCCGGCTTTCCTAACATAAAAATGCAAGATATATAAAACATGTTTTATTATAGTACAACAGACATCACAGATATTGAAAAGAATCAGTGCCTAAATGATATGATATATATTTACTCACAAATCAGGTGTATAACAAGTTTCACAAAAGCGTTTGAAAAAGTTTCTGTAGCTAACTACTTTTTACCTTCCACCATTATGATGTGATACCCGAACTTTGTTTTCACCGGTGGATCCGTGTAGACCGGAGACGCCAGGCTAGAAACCGGTAACGCAAAGGCAGCGTCCTGGAAGGGTCCCACCATGGAGCCTCGCGTCATCCAACCAAGATCACCCTTTAAGACAATAAACAAAATATAATTTTTGAACACAGTTTTACCTCTTCAATTGTGAGAATATATTCTTTGCATTACCCCAGATCTGGCCTTGTCCTCGCTGTACGTCGCTGCAACTTCATTGAACTTCTGACCAGCCTTCAACTTCTCCAACGCCTCCAATACCTTGGATTGCTTCTCACACAATACATGTCTAACCTATGACCGAAGGAAATAATTTTACAGTGCAGTGCGCTATATAACTTTACAAGAAGGCGCTACAATCCGCCAGCCGGTGGAGTAAAAGGGGGGAAAAAGAAATAATTGTATAAAGTATTGCACGACAGTCATATAAAATAGTAAAAATCTATTTGTATACAACATTTGTACACAACATAACTGGAGTAATGAATCTCATTGAAGATGGATCACGTGTATAAGTCGTATAACATACACGCACGTTTGTAGGATGAATTCAAAACACGTCGAAACACGTGTTCTCATACCTTCACCGCGTTCCCACCTTTCTTCTCCGCCTTGCCACTGCCACTCTCCTCCGAGGATTTTCCCTTGCTGGTCTTCGCGGCACCGGCGTTCTTCTTCGGCGGCATGATCGCGTGCAATCGACGTGACTTCGCGTCACGTCAGCTCAGGGGTAATGGAGGTTTCTGCCTTCCCGTCGACGGGAAACAACTCAAACAGCGCGCGTGACAACTGCATCCCGATGACAGATGGCAACTGTAGGTAAATTTCATGAACGGATAATCGGATATAGCTGCAGGTCGAGACGGTCGAGTGGTCCAGTTGCTCCAGTCTACGGCAGTCTGCGGCCTGTGCCGTTTGGGGCAATCGACGCTGGTCTATACGGCAAGACGACTGTGAATACTGTGATACAGCCCAGATACATCCTCACATTTACTTCCTCTTTTATCTCACACTTGTATTTTACCGTATTTCCAACTTAACGTTTTGTGATAAGCCGTGCGTTTGTGCTCGGCAGAACCAATTTTACATTCCAATTATTCGTATCAATTTAACGCAGGTAAAATATTGTTACGGTAAGATTGCATCAGAGAGAATTGCATGTATCATTTAAACAGTTACGAAATGGTAGAGTGTCTTTCCGGAGTTAATTTGCCGTGTTTCGTACGTAGCGAATTCCGTCAGATTCCTGTTGGCAAAGTGTTTGTCGACGAAGTTCGTAAAATTTGTTTTCGACAGACTTGGCTGTCTGAGTTATCGCATCTTTTATCTGTGAAACATTCGCGGATTTAATTGTGCATGAACAAGAAAAAAAATTGCAAAAGAAGTAACTTTTACTGCCACGTTATCGTTTAAGACTGTTAAGGTGGTTTTATCGCTCAACGCCAACTTGATACGTTGTCACATAAACGTCACACGGTCGCATATGTATGTACAGTTTATGCGAAATGTTTTTATTGACTTACACTTGTTTTTATTTAATTATTAGTCATATGGAGAGACTAGCTTTTTACTGGGACTTGTTCGATAAAATCACCTTAATTTGTTCCGTTATAATTTTTTATAATTATCACATTAGCGAGACACGTAAACTTTAATAGAGCTTAAAAGATAAGATATATTTAAATGCATTTAAATATTTAAGATGCATTAAATATTTAATTTATCTGCAATATATATCTTATACATTATATATATATAATAATTTATTGCAGTTGGAGTTTTCATTTGACTGATTAATCAAAAGCAAAAGATTGTGATAATGGAACTGATGCGGCCAGACCGACCGTCTAAGTGTACATGGAAAGTGAATGGGGAAAATTCGCCGCATACGAAACAAACAAAGTAAGTTTATCTTAATTGGAAGCTTTAAGTACAAGTAACATATTTCTTTTTTATCTTTGTTATCTTCCCAATATAGTTTATGTATTTTGCCACGTGCACGCCATACGTTACAGCTCTTTGTACTAATTTTAACACATGAGAAGTTTCACCATATGCTCTGAGATATCAAAGTTTATCAGTAGACCGCACAAATATGTGCCAATCATTGTAATCACAATATTGTAATTATAAAATAAAAGCAAAGAGAAAACATTGCACAACTTGGCACAAATATTGCCATAAATTGTACTGTGCAAACAAGCATCACTGACGCATCACTGACAGTTAGTTATCATAGGACATATGAGAGTATTAATAACAGATAATAACATATTTGCGTTAGAGTAGCATTCGGTTTTGCAATTAGATCTACATGTTATTGTAATTTTTTATTCATATTGAAATATAGAGGTAATTATATTTTTCGTGTCAATTATATATATATATATCTATATATTTTTATTTTTTTAGCTTCCTAAATCGTAAGCAGATACTACCAAACATTCTAAGCGCAATTGGCCAGACGCCTCTAATTCGACTGAATAACATTCCTAAATCCCATGGGATCAAATGTGAAATGTGTTAGTAAAAAATTCGATAGGATTATATTTCATTAGAACAATAGAAATTTTCTCCTCTTTTGTAAGAAAATCCGATAAGAAAATTTTTCTATCTTATTGTCACAGATGCTAAGTGTGAGTTTTTCAATCCTGGAGGGAGTGTTAAAGATAGGATTGCGGACAGAATGATTCAGGACGCGGAAGAGAAGGGTCTGATAAAGCCGGGGTACACAATTATCGAACCGACCAGCGGCAACACGGGCATCGGCCTGGCGATGGCCGCGGCGGTCAAGGGCTACAAGTGCATCATCGTCATGCCGGAGAAAATGTCCAATGAAAAAGCCTATGTGCTTCGCGCTCTCGGTGCGGAGATAGTGAGAACACCGACCGAGGCCGCGTGGTACAGCCCGGAGGCGCATATCAGTGTTGCCCAAAAGTTGCAAAAGGAAATACCCAATAGTATCGTCCTCGATCAGGTGCCTTATCTCAATATCTTTTCTGAATATCCTTAAAATAATGATATATCTTTGATATATTTTTTAAATACAAATGTTTAATAATACAATATAATATACAGTATACAAATGCCGGTAATCCATTGGCGCATTATGACCAAACTGCGACGGAGCTGTGGGAGCAATGCGACGGCAATGTAGATTATGTTGTACTTGGCGCCGGTACGGGCGGAACTATATCCGGAATCGGTCGAAAGCTGAAGGAACTGTCGCCTAACGTGAAAATCATCGGAGTGGATCCTAAAGGTAGCATTTTGGCCTACCCGCCTGAGTTGAACGGGGACGGCGTTGGTACCTACGAAGTAGAAGGCATCGGCTATGATTTTATACCTACAGTCCTGGATCGAAAAGTGATTGACGTATGGATGAAGACTGAAGATTACGAGTCGCTGAAAGCGGCGCGAGAATTGATTCGCAAAGAGGGACTGTTGTGCGGCGGTAGCAGCGGCTCGGCACTCGCTGCGGCGTTAAAAGTCGCGAAAGATCTGCCCGCGGATAAACGCATGGTCGTCATCTTGCCGGACAGCATACGAAACTATATGACCAAGTTTGTGTCAGATCAATGGATGGTGGCTAGAGACTTTTTGGTAAAGCTACTTGTGTCGTACAGGATTTCTAGACATTTAAGATCTATTAAATTTGTTTGCAAATATTACTGAACATTTATTAAATTTCCTTTCAGCCATGCGAATCTTCGACAGAAGCGAACAAATGGTGGTGGAACATACCGGTGTCGAAATTACCATTGAAAAAGCCCATATTGTTAAAGGGGATGTCGTGCCAAGATCTCGTGGATTTCTTGAAATCCGCAAATCACATTCAGCAATTGTTAGTAACTGACGAGAAGGAAATACGCGTGAAGGGCGTTGTCACATTGGACGTGCTCTTTTCTAATTTAATCTCCGGTTCGGTGAAGCGAACTGATATCGCTGAGAAAGTCATGATCAAGCAGTTTACGAAAGTTACAGCCTCGACTACACTCGGTAAACTGTCGCGTATCCTCGAGAAAGAACCTTACGCCGTGGTTGTAAACGACGATGATGCCTTAGTCGGACTTGTAAATCAAAGCGAAATTTTTAATTTTATCACTAAGGATGATGATTGCAACGTGAAATAATGAAACTGTACAAAATGTCCGTCCGCATTGTACATATGTGATCAAGCAAAATTGTCACATGTGTGTGCATTCAGAAAATTAAGATTACATCTAATTGCATCATGAGGCTTTTTCCTTCCTAATTTTGTATTTGATACTATTTTCTTATATTTGTATAAATTGAACAAATTATTTATACAAAAAAAATTATAAATACAAAAAAATTGTCATGAAATGTATCAATATGATCTGTTTTAGATCTTGTTTATAAACCAGTAATATGGTATTTTTTAAATGTATTGTTTTATAGCATTTATACATTTTAAGCATTTAAACTTTACTTTCCATTTTTATAGTAATTTTATGAATGTAAATGCAAATACAGATGAGCAAATAAAAAAAAATGAAATAAAAATTGTTATATAAATGTAGGTATATATTAATTCCTTATTTCGAATATATTCTGGATTTACAGTTTACAAATTAATATATACATTGCATGATAAATATCAGAGCTATTTTATCTCTGAAAATAATCAATTATAATATATTTTCTTTTCACTAAATACAATAAAAATATATAATAATGATAACTGAGAAAATGTCTATTATACTTCCTTATATCGAGAGATTTCGATATATATGTATATTATCTTTTTACACTTCTGTATCTCCTTACCGCTTACTTCTCGACACGCTCCGGATGACGATTAAATTTTTTGAACTTGAACGTGAAATTTGCAGCTCGGTAACGTAGTGGTTTCCGCGGTGACGGTGCTGATGATGCCGAGATTCGCTAGACTACCGCGGAGGAGGCCGCAAGTGAAAGCCAGCAGGCGAGGGCTCTCCTTGAGGTACTGCTTGCTGTTGCTCGTCCCGACCTTGTCCAGCAACCTGAAGGCGTTGTCTTGCAACACGTACACTCCGTGATGGTTAGTCCTGAGATTGTCGATTTGTTTGTGATACAGGCTGGACCAGAAGTCCGTGCAGATGAACTTGATCATATCCAGCTCGTCCTTGAACCTGCTCCACTCCCTCGTCAGTCGTTCGATGATTCTGTAACCGACGCTGAATCCCATCCATTCCAGACGCGACAGCTCCTCCTCGCCTTCCTGTTGGAAACGAATTCTTACGTGGTAAATAACAGGACTTGTCACGCACGCCCAAACGGCCCATGAGAACTTGTCATTTGCACAGCTGATTACTCACCGCAGCGTTGGACGACCTGCTCAAAACGTAATTGACCAGCTCGGCGTGCAAATACTCGAAGAGGCAGTCGTCGGCCTCCCCGGATGCGCCAGGATTCGCCTTGGAATCAATTATCTGTTGCTTCATCGTTGTCGTCGACGGTATGTATCTCGTTTCGATTCGATTCCAGGGAAAGGTTTTCCCGTGTAATTTGACGCGTAAAAATGTACGAGTTGCAGAAAGAAAGCGTTAAACAATCTGGGCGCAGCCGTCAACTTTCCGTAGACTGTTAATCGAAAAAAATTACTCCTTCCGCACGTCCGACTGCAAAGTATCGCCAACGAGTACTCCAAAACACGATGTAACATATAGATATATGATAACTTTGACAGACAAGCACTCGCACATGCGCCGATGGAGCGAATGATAATACAGTGCACTACATTGGTAACCATGGAAACTGTAAAAGCACGCTTACTCCGCGCTGCGGAATAATCGTATCGTGCACCGATAATTAATTTTCCTTTTACAATTGCAATTGTAAAAAATACACATGAACGTTAATCTTCCTTTTCTATATATATTTATATTTAATAGAAATCCGGAAAAGTAAGTTATTCTGAGAAATATATATAGTTTTCAATATTTTCATCAATATTATGTATTTACAATAATTATATAAATGCATAATTAATTTTGATTATATAATTTTAATTATTTAAGTAATGTTTTTAATTTTTTAAATTTTGTACATTATTTCATTAACTGGCATATGTTTATTATATGCACAATTAACAGTAATATATTATTTGTAATTTGAATATTGTAAATTTCTGAATAAAACAGTACATGGAGAAATATATCATCAACGGTCAGATTGGCGAAGGAGCGCAAGGCTTGGTCCTGAAAGCGCACGATACGTCTAGGGATCAGGAAGTGGCGCTAAAGAAGATCCTAATTAAAAAGAGCGAGGGCGGTCTACCCGCGTCCATCATACGCGAAGTGAAAAGTCTGCAGCAATTCAAGCACCCCTACGTACGCTTCCTCTCACTCTAGTATCTTCTTAGCTTTCTTCAAATCCAAGAAAAATAATGTTTAAAGCGTTCACCGATTTCACGTATTAATTCAGCGGAATTTGCCATTCATTGCCATTTGTTTGCAGGTCGTGGAACTGCTGGACGCTTTCCCGAACGGTTTAGACTTCGTAATGGTGTTCGAATACATGCCAACGGGTCTGTGGGAGATATTAAGGGACCCCGAGATATCCTTGACGCTGGCGCAAATTAAAACGTACATGAAGATGTTGCTGGAGGGTATAGCGTACGTGCACGGCAAGAATATAATACACAGGGTATACATGGATTTTTATTTTAGAACAGATTCACACACACCCACATGTATGTAATCTCTTCTAAAATGTTGTGTGGAATCGCATTTTAGGATTTGAAACCTGCGAACTTGCTGATCAGCGACAAGGGTATCTTGAAAATCGCAGATTTTGGCTTGAGCAGACTGATGTGGCGGGACGGCACGAAGCCGTATTCGCATCAGGTCGCTACGCGATGGTACCGCGCGCCGGAGCTGCTCTACGGAGCGCGCTACTACACGTCCGCGATCGACATGTGGTCGATCGGTTGCATATTCGGCGAAATGCTGAACGCTTCCCCGTTGTTTCCAGTAAATAATTCCTTCTCCTCGCTGAAATTACTGAATTAGTGTAGCGATGCTGTCACTTGTAATTGCAGGGTGAGACCGACATCGAGCAACTGGCCATTGTTCTGAAGTATTTGGGTTCCCCTACGTCCGAATCCTGGCCCGAATTGAGCTCATTACCGGACTACAATAAAATCACCTTTCCTTACCACAAGAGCACGTCATGGGAGAGCATTATTCAAGACGCGCAGCCGGAAGCTATCGATCTAATCAGGCAAATCTTGATTTACAATTCGTCCAAACGTCTCACAGCTGAACAAGTAATATACAAGATTATATAATGACGTATAAATAAATAATGATGTGATACTAATAAGATATCGATCTAATCAGGCAAATCTTGATTTACAATTCGTCCAAACGTCTCACAGCTGAACAAGTAATATACAAGATTATATAATGACGTATAAATAAATAATGATGTGATACTAATAAGATATCTGTCTCGAATTATCCTCGAATTTTTGATTAGTTACTATTATTTTTCTCGCTGTTCTGCCATTGCTAACGTCATCGTTAGAGAGAAAACGAAAGAAGAGATACACATATAGAAATAAAAATGATAAATTATTGTTTCAGGCATTGTGTCACGTATACTTTTACTCCAAACCGTATCCATCTATGAAGACTCTAATAAAACCACCGCCGGATCATCGCCTTCGCGTAAAACCGAAAGAAATCGATCCGAACGTGCAACCAAGCACGCTTTTCGAAAATCTTTTAAGCATTGTATAACGATGATTGGCACGGTGTGTATTAATGGTAAGTTATTGATATAAGAAAACATAGCAAAGATATTCTTGGAAAAGATTTAAAAAAATCCGTTAACGATTTTGTTTAATTTAACAGATTTTATTTAACTTTCATTCCTGTAAAACGCAAGTATTCTTCTGAATACCTCCGGATTGTATCCCTCGACTACTGGTCTGCCATTGTTGTACTCGGCTTTCTCGTAAAGCGTCAACGGCGACAGGGCGCACCAGAAATTTTTCACACTGGCGTCACTGGCGTCCAACGAATTAAGTTGAAATACGAAGAAGTGGTAATTCTTCCCGTCCGATTGCACGCACTGCACAGTCACGGGCTCCGGCAGTTTCTTCACGGACGAACCGAATTTTTGTCGCGCGCAGGACGCCGCCGTGGTGAACGTTTTTAATAAAGTGCGACCGAAAATCTGATTCTGCGTCACGGGTAATTCCGTCAGATTTTTCACTTCCTCGGGATCGTAGTGCACAAAAATCGTGTGGACGTTCATCCAAGGCAATGTTGTACTGACAGCTATTATTAATATATATGATATTAAATACAAAAAAATATATAGCAGTATACTGTAAATAATTATACTGGAAATAAAAAGCATTAGACTTACGATACACGTCCCCAGTTTTGTAGAAGTTTGTCGTGTCCAAACCAATGGTGTAATGCATTGGATAAATATTCGGGATATCTATTTCCATATCGCTGTTAGAACTCTCTATCGGTTTCAGAGGATTTGCCGACATGATCGTCACGTCCGATCTCAGGGTAAATTGGATGAGATCTAATTCTTTATCTGAGAAATATTTTTATGTTATGCAATATTTGAGTAGAGAGTGTTTGAATACATAATATTTAAGTAATTAGATAAGTTACCAAAGTTTAAATTTGTGATCCCATCATACAATGCACATCGTTTCCGCGCGACATCTGGACCCGACAAGGATTCACAAAGTTGTAAAAATTTCCTGGACAAGTTACGCCTGCAAAAATACCCACGAGATAGGCGTGTAAATGTATATTATTTTTGCTGTTGTCAAAATAATATTTAAATCTTAACTCACTAACATTTTTCTGCAATTGGTTATGCCAAAGTCTCTAGGAAACACCCACGCAGGTCTCTCAGGATCCTTCCTCTTTGGTAGTTGCTCTTGATGAGCGTCAAATATATTTGAAGTATAAATTATCCTATAAGAGCACCAGGAAATATTCAACATATAAGTAGGATCAAAGAAAATTACTTAAAATTTTAAATTTAATATACCTTTTCACAATGTCGTCTACATGTTCTGGCAGATCTGAATATAAATCTTGAATGTAATTCGAAGAGCTGTTCGGCAGACACACAGTGTTTGTCAGTATCTGGGCTTGGCAAAATCCTTCCTGCAGAATATTGTGATCCTTAAACACCGAGCAAGTTCGAGCTTTCCAGTCTGGATGCGTTTCGTCAAACGCTGGTGGGTTTGGTATCAGAGACTCCACAGTTATCCTAGTGTAAAGGACAATTTGCAATTAGCATCAGATATCCGCGGTAACTTGTAAGAAAATACAACTCTGGAGAGAACAGTACCTTGGATATTCCTGTTTCGGGCAGGACACTTCTGCAGCATCCTTCACCAAAATCCCCAACTTCGACAAGTGTTCTTCTGTCCTGGTGTCAAATATTTTGCGTTCTCGCTTCACATACCACAATCTTTTAATAGATCTACCTATGTGTTGCTTGTATAATACCCACGTGAGCTTCATTTTACTTTATCTGAAACAGATAAATTGATAATAACAATAAATGCGAAAGTCTTGAAGGTTATGTGGTGTACTAGAAAAGCTTTTTTCTCACTTTTCATTAATATGTACTGAGTTCTTATCAAATTATATAAAAAATCGAATGACGGTATTCAACATCGTAACTTACATAAGCAGCAATAAAGTCAAATTGTATGTGTTTGTATTTTTTAAGTCTGCAATATATTTTTGATGCGTGACTGCGTAACCTAACCCCTTTTCCGACTCATAACAATTCCAAGCTGGATCGATAATACAGAAATTTTTGTAGTGGAAAATAAAATAAAAGAGCTCTAAAATTTATCTTAGCAACATCTGATATCAAAAACTGCATTCGATTATATAATTAGATTTGATATACATATATAATAGAATTCTCGTTTTGGGAATTTTAATTAGCAAATCACTTTTTTTTACAAATTTATGCTGTATAAGTATAAATTAGATGAAGCTAGAAATCTAGTTTCGATTGTAGAAAAAATTATCATAAAAACAAGAAAATTTGAGCAGAGAATAAATAATTTAAAAATATGTTTAGAATTTACATCATGGAATTATTAAGCATCAAAATCCAATTTTGACTGATAAAGGTTTTTCTCTATTAAATTATGTTATTTACTTTATAGCGATCTAATTCAACTTATTGTTAGAATAAATGCACTTTCTATCAAATATTTCTATATTTAATATTTTACCCCATTTATATGCATATATAATATCCATTTATAAATAACGTATAAATCCCTTGTTCTGTTTTTTGTACTTATAAACGTCATGGAAATGTATGATAAAATATTTATTATACATATTTATAAACTAATGTGTTTTCTTCGTAGTAGCACTGGGAGTGAGTATTTTCCGCCTTTGCGCGAACATGTGCAAATAAAGCGGTGGAAAACCTGCACAGTGTGAACAAAACATTTAATGAATAATTCATGATTTCGCGTTATACTATCCACATATATTATCCATATGCTTTTCATATTCACCTGGAATATAAGCTAGCATGGCAAATATCAGGAAATACAGGTAGCTAAACGTGAAGTTCCATTTGTTTGGCAGGACGTAACTCCAAGAGTCAGGATTAGCGCTGGCGTAATTCGTAGCGGCATAGAGACACAATAATTCGCCGGTCACGCCCAACGGATACAGTACGATGAACGTGGTGTATCTGAAAGCGCACGTTTGCATTTTTATATAAAATGCGACCTCACGTATAAATAAAGATAAAATGGTTCTGATTTAATGATGGTGCAAGAGATTAAGCTTACCTCAGCCAGACCAGTGGATATGGCACAATTCCCAAGACGAGATTTATGAAGTAATAGGAGTATCTAATGATTTCTGTAATGGACCACGCGATCAGAGCCATCGGAAGACCTGGAGATGCGGCAGCGTATGTGTAAGGAGTAGCCAGGATAACTAAGTTTACAATTAAGATGCGACTGAAGACTTGGGACACTGTGATTGCAACGCTGGATGGTACCAGCCCGATTGCTGCGTGTACTATCTGAAATAGAAAACTTCTATGATGCACTATACATAATTAATTATGCTTTAACAGAAAATCTACAAAAATCAGATAACATTTCAAGTCTATAATCTATTAAAAGATTTCTTATAATTTTTCCCTACAATATTGCAAATTAATTGCAATATTAATTGCAAATGTTTGCAATTAAATTCTAGTTTTTGCAATTTTCTTAGATTATATCCTGCTGCTTGATAATATTTGCAAAAATTCAAAGATTTGAGATTTGACTTGAAGTCTAATAATTATCCATCCTCAGATTATATTTAGCTAACTCTAAGATATTGTTAAATACCTCCAATATAGCTGCATCCTGAAAAATAATTACAGGTAGCTCGGTCTTGTCCCATAAGGTACTACCGGAGGAAGTGGTGTAATGTTGTATAATCTGATACAGTATGTAACCCCATCTGAAATAAAAGAAAATTTAATTATCTCGTCTCTCTTTTCAAAATCTTAAAAAAAAAGATAGAAAATATATACATAAAGAAAATTTTGTAATAAGCAGAATAAATAAAAGACATTTTTTGTGGCTCTTTGTTAATCCGTAAAAAAAAATTAATAATTACGTAAAAAAAGAATTTCGGATTGCTCATTTTGTTTGTTCACAGGCGAAAACGTACCCGAAGACCTGGGCGAGATTATACGACGCCAGATACAGCTTCGAGAGAGTGCCCTGTTTTTTGGATTTCGCTCCTGCCATGTCGTAACTCGTATGTGGAAATTTGTCGAACGCTACCTCACGGCCTCACGGCTCACGCTCGAATGATTTGCAACAAATTCAAGCCAGACACCGAACCTTTGGTCGACCCAGCCGAAGAACGTGGTCGCTTTTCAATATGTATGTTAACCGTCGAACATTAATTATTTATTTGAAATGTAGGTATTATTACCGCCAGCTACGTTCGTGCATATTCAGCATTTAATTTGAGAGGTTAGCACATATCGGAGTATTTATACAATGTATGCATATTTCGCAAATACGCAATCTTATCTCTGCCACTTAAGCGGCAGCGAGATATAACGATAGGAACGATTCCTCCTTCACTCCTCCTGAAATTTTTGCAGTTAAACTTTGTACTTTGTAGTTACAAACTTTGTGCTTTTATCTTTCTTTCTGTCCAGCGTTATGTCTCGTCTTGAGTGTAAAAAGTGCAACGAAGGCATAACTACAAAAAAAAAACACAAGAAACGCACTTTTTGTTACTCCGGAACTTACAACATATATATTACATATGTTCTAAGCTCCGAAAAGAAAAAATGTTAACGCTTCGACCTTCATATATGCTTCGATTCATAAAGCAATTAATGTAGTCAGTAATTAAGGATCGGCAGTAGTGACAAGCCAACTATATATATATATATATGCATTTTTGTAACTAAAAAAAGAAATTAGCCGTAAAAGTCTCTTTGATTATGATAAAATATTATTCTGTCAAGAGATAAAATTTATAATTTGTCGAACATTAACATATATACATATATACTATACGTATATCTGCATCGCGAATAGTGTGAATGAGAAACACGCAGAGATCATATTATTTTATTGTAATTATATAAGAACGATAGAAACCAAGTTACAAAATCAGCATGATGACTGTAATTTTAGTCTTTAATTGTATAGCTTCGTAAAAAAATAATCGGAGAGGTTTCATGGCAAAATATCTCTTCTGATTCTTAAATTTAATTTTCCTTAATAAATCTTTTTTATCTTACATCTTAATAATCTTTTTTATATTTCATCTATTTTTCTCTGAAAAAGATATTATGGCAAGTAAGCGTTAAATCGAAATTAAAGTTAATCCGTATTGATAAAAATAGACATCAGCCCGAAGATTTATAAGGATCGAAATTTAATCACTGAATTAAATTAATTAATTCGGAATTGATTCGGCAAGTTTGTTAATAAGCGTCTTGAAGAAAAAAAAAAAAATCGCGACCAATCGCGAATCTGAAGGCAAGAAACGCGGCGATCGCGGTCGTTAAATACAGCGAGTCATCGCGGCTGGCATAGGAACGCGCCTCAAGCTCGCGTACTCGCGTCGCGAGGCTCGCGACGAGAGTCGCGGTCGCGAGTAGCTTTGTTTTTGTTTTGCGCGTTTTGATCTTATACGTACGGTGCCTGCACACGGGGCCTCTCGAAGCCGTGGCGTGTAAAATCGTACGACGACGGATACACCGAGGCGAGAACGAACGAGGGATCGCGTTGGGAGATAAGGAGCGAGCGATAAAAGGGGAAGAGATAATCTCGAGGAGAAAAGAGCGTGCTCCGCTCACACTTGACATTTAGACTCCACGAAGACCTTCCTCATTCACGACACGTATTTCCGAGGGGGGTACGAAGATTCGCGCGAATTAACGCGCACGATCGCGCGACAACTCGGCGAATTGACTCCAATTGACTCGTGCGACTGCGAGGAACAATGACGCGCCCCGTCGCCAGGACGCCCGCCGCGCGAATCGTCGCGCCCGACGTCGCGCATCTCTCGACGGTCGGCTGCGATTGTGATTTATGAAGCAATAATATCTTATCTGAGGTAAAGACGCGGAGTGAAGACGAGACGCTGCACAAACACCCGTCTGAAATCCTCGCTCACTCTCTCTCTCTCTCTCTCGTGTATGGCAAGGCGGTGTGAAGGGAATTCTCATTAAATAGCACCTCCCGCGCGGGTGGAGAGAGAGCTCACAACGCCAAGATGTATCACATTTTCGAGTTGCTCGCGAACAGCGTTTTTCTATGGATATTCCTGCAGACCGCGTTGAGCGTGCTGGTCACCGTCCTGTACGAGTTTTGCGTTCCCTGGATCGTCTGGGGCTCGCTGATTGTCGTGGTAGCGCTGAAATTGGCCCGAGTGTCCCCCCCGGCCGCCAGCATCGTGCAAGAGGTGCTCGGCGTGAACCCGCTCCTCCTGGGCAAAGATAACTCCGTGCCCGAAAACCACGGTAACGGAGAGCAATATTGCATGCGAGTGGTGGCCCACCGTGGTGGAGGATACGATTATCCCGAGAACAGTTTGTTGGCTTTCCGAAATGTAAAGTTACACACTTCGACGTAGCTTTAACTTTATTATAGTACCTAAGATTTTTTCCGTTGGAGCTTAGACTCTCTTTCTCTTGTGTTTTCCAGTTTTGTTTCGGCTTGTTTAACATTTATCGTTGCTTAATAATGCACAAGGCGGTGGAACTAAAAAATATAATATAATATTAACGCATCGTCCTGTTTAATCATTAAATTTCTGTTGTAGTTTTCAGCACGCTAATTTTTTTTGTTTTTATGACAAATACGTTCGTTTTAGAAATATATTCCTTGCTAGATTATTTATATTTTTTTTTTACAGAGCAGAGGAAAGGGCTGCACCGCAGTGGAGCTTGACTTGCGCCTAACAAAAGATAACATTCCAATAACATTCCATGATCCAACGATCGAAAGACTAACAGGCCAGACGGGAATGATTAGTGAAATGACATGGGAGGAATTGAGGGAGTTTGACATAACTTACAATCATCCGCTTAAGTATGATTATATATATATGTATTTCAACTTACGATCGGAATACCTTTTGTATAAAATGCATGCTCATAACGTATCCCCTCGGGAGTATTTTAACAGAGGAACAATAATTTATGTTTTCGTCCCTAAGGAACAAATTTTCCGAAGGCGAGAAGATCGCACTGCTCGACGACGTGCTGCGAGAATGTCTGGACAGCGAGCAGAGAATAATTATAGATATAAAAGAGACAAGGATGGACGTTGTGCAAGTTGTTCTGGACGCGTACAAGAAATACCCGAAATTATTCCAGAGAGGCGTCGTCTCGAGTTTCAATCCGATCGTAGTGTACACGGTACGCTGTGTTAAACGTCGATTAATAACTTAAATTACATATCTATCTCGACGGTGAATATATCTTTAATTTTATATTCAGATTAGGAAGAGAGAGCCGCGCATTGTATCGAGCCTCGCTTGGAGGCCGTACTTTTTCTCGAGGATGTCGTACGCCGGTCTGGAAGCACCCGGCCCGGTACGTTATCATAATCCGTTCAAGCATTTGGGAGCGTGCATCTTTGAGACTCTGTACGAATGGCTGCTACCGCGTTTTGTCTATTACATCGTCGGCGTTTCCGCTATGCTGTTGCACAAGGATATAGTGAATCCGTGAGTAACGTTACTAAATCGGGCTTTTACGATTTCACATTTATATTTATATGTATATGCAAAAACGCGGGTGTACGCATATATAATTTTCATTCCAGACGCGTGATCGAACGATGGCGCGACCGCGGCGTCCGCGTGATGGCGTGGACGGTGAATCGGCCGACGGAGAAAACGCATTTCTCGAGGTTCCTCAAAGTCACCTATCTAACCGATACGCTACATCTAGAGAAGGACATGTAGTAAATGTCCGATATATTTTTGTGTTCTCAGTATTAAATTTCAAAGACTTTTTGTACCATACACTGGCATTATGCATGTACAAATTTTTCTACTTTCGATTATATAGATTATATACGCGTCTTAATATCAACCATCTAGTCGGGTCGTAAAAAAAATTGATATGACGACTTACGTTACTTTTAAACATAGATTATAAGGCACTTATTTTATAATGTCTTGTACAAGGCGCATACATATATATATATGTATATATAGTATGTGCGAATAGCGATAATAAAAATTACTCGTTACACTGAAGAGATTTAAATGGACGGAGTTATTTCCCGCTATAGCGAGGTTCGTTATAACTTTCTAATTATCGAGAGTAAATTAAGACTACGTAAAAGAAAAAAAATTTTTAAGAGTGCATATTAAGTATATAGAATTATAAAACTTATCCACTTTCCACGCATTGTCAATAGGAATCTTTGAAATAGATCGTTTCTTTCATGATTGCACAGATATTATACACGCACAATAAATATATATATGTAAAAAGTATGGAAAAATACCTTTCCAAATATAATGGCCATAATCACATCTCTCAATTAGCGCTAAATATAGTTTGATTTATCAACGCGTAATATCGAATGCAATCTCCGTATTGCTATAGAATAATTAGATGATCCTTCTTTGGATAATGCATAATGTCATATAAAATGGCACATTTTATACATCGGAGGCCGATCAAAGGATTAAAAACGAATATCTAAGATTATAGCAAAATTGCAAAAGAGGAAAGAAATCAGTCGGTGCGATATAATAATTTTTAAACATACGATAACTAGATTTACGTTCAAGGCGTCTCTTCAGACGATGGTAGTAAGTTTACTTTTACGAGATTCCATACCTTCGATGAGGCCAGTCAATAGATCTTCCATCTCTGTGGTGGCGCGTTTCAATTTACAATTGTCATTGCCGTCGTATGATTCTGCAAAAAGCGCGTATATATTATAATACATCACATATTACGTGCACATATTTACGTGTCATGCTGCATAACTTACCGTCGAAGCAGTCATTGGCAACCATATTTTGCAATCTGTCCAATATATCATTAAGATCCCCTTGAATATTTTGTAAGCTACTGTGCTGCGAGTGTTTGTCGGGGCGCTGCAGAGAAGACGGCGTGTTGTCTCTGTGAATGCCAGTGGGCGATTGAGAAGCTATCAGTGACGTGTCGTTGTCTGTACCACTAATCGCGTTGGCCGCGTAACTGTCCTCTTTGCAGTTCGAATTGCCAGCGGCCAACCACTGCGAGAAGCCACTGTCAGCTGGACTCAATTCTCTTCTTCTTGTTCCTAAAATTTTAACGAGCGTTCGTGTAAATTATTTACAAACTCTTCCTCATTATGCACAACGTACTTCGTACTCACCTCCAATCCAAGTACTTAATTCTATACGATTACTTTCTGATATATTAGCGAATCCCGTGCTCGTAGAGGCCTCTTCGGCGCAAGGAAGAGCGTTGGCGTTATTCTCCTCTGCCGTACGCTCTATAGGTGACGACGTATTAAAATCCAACATTATTAATTTGTCCTTTCTGTGCTGCGATTTGGCTCCTTCCGTGCTGTCCTGCCTGATAATCGGGCTCAATTCGAATTCCAGCGGCAAGGCCGTTAATCTGGATGACAAGGGTGGTAGCATCGGGGTGCTCTGCATACGAGTGATGATCGGCGGCATTTGGGCCGTATCGGTGAATAAATATTTCTGCGAAGATTAGACAGCTTCAGTGAAAAATGCGTAATATCGAATGCAATCTCCAGTAAAATTGCAAAAGAAGAAAAAGAAATCAGTCGATAAACAATCTTCAACTTGCAGTACCTTAAGCATTTTCAATCGCTGCAGCTGAGACTCGATAGTCGCTCTGTGACGTTGTAGCCTTTCCGCTTTGGTGCCCTGTATGTCTAACAACTCGATTTGCAATTGTCGATTTTCTTCTTCCAAATCCATTATAATACTTTGTAATTCCTTTTGCGGGTCAGTCAGAATTTTTCTTCTAACCGTGCTTCTTAATGAGCCGTAATTCGTTCGTCTGGTCTCGTTGCTAGAAGGAAAAATGTTTTTTTCAATTGAAGAATTATCGTATAATTTTTTATAAACATGCAGAAGTGCAGTTTGTACGTGCAAACAAACCTGGCAGCGTCTGTAACCGAGTCCTCCACCGGGACTGTTCTGGTAGGACACAATCTCAATTTATTTCTGATCAATTCAAGGATAAGCTTCGTAATTTCACGATGTGAAGTCTACGAAAGAATTGCTTTTTAGTATCAATGTGATAATTCACACTTTAGAGAATAAGATTCTATAAACATTATTAGACATTATACCTTTACACAAAATTCGCGAATTGGGTGTTTCAATTTGTGCTTGTTCGACGTCTTCCCTAAGAGAAAACAGTCCTGGCATTGATGATATCCTGTGCATTTTAAACACGTATATCTTGGTCCCTGTACCGGTGTTACCTTACACGAGGAACATCTGATGTTGTGTACAACTGCAAGTAAAAGTTGTTCATTATTATATTTACGCACACGAGATTTTTAATTTCCGTCACTTACTGTGTTCTGCGGATTTTATTCGATTGAACGTCGTTATCCAGACCAGTAGTGGAGGTTCCTGCATGATCCACGCGGCAAACTCTGCTTCAGTAACCCCAAGGCCACCTTGAGACTAAAATGAATCGTCAAAAAAATGATTTAATAGAGCTCGTTTTTTAACATAATTATGAACATGAGAAAGAAACAGTTTTGTTCGTACCTTTACGAAACAGGCATCTATGTGCGACTGAATCTGTTCGTATCCATACGCTATACTTTCTCCCAGCATTTCTGTTATTTTGCAGACATTTGTCAGCAAGGTATGTAAACCAGCTCGCGATAAGCACGCATTGTGATTGGCCAATTGTTGATACAAGTATCCATATTTCTCTTGTAGCTTACCACTGCTCAATAATACCAATGCAACTTTTACTGAAAATACTAAGATATTTCCAGTACTTTGTCTGCAATGTAAAACACATTTCTGTATTAGAATTGCTTATTTTACTGTAAATGTTAATTACTAATAGGGCGGGTGTATGTGTTTAAAGAGATACTTAAAAAATGACAGAGATTACAAGTACAGTGATATTGTACTTAAAAAATTACAGAGATTATAAGTACATTGATATATAGTTAATGTAACACAAAGCGATTAGAGACTTACTTGTCAAAGGTATTCAGGATATAACTTGTGGCAAGCTTGGTCGCAAGATCAACGTCGAAATTGAAATTACTTTCCTTCTGCGCCGCGAAATAGATGTCAGACAGAACGTCCTCGATTTCACTCGGGTCTAAGTTAACGCAATTTTCAGTGATGGAGAGCCTGTGACGTTCGAAGACTCCTGCTATTAATTCCAGCTGCACGTGCACCACTGAGTAAAAATAAAATAAGGTTTGAGCAAAATCAGCAATGTCCCATTCGGCAGAAGGTCAGATGAGGAGAAGACTGCTCACTGTTCAATTCTCTATGTAATATCTGCATCTTCGCAGCGGTTCTGTAAGACGGATAACGAATAGCGTTGCACTCTTGCATGGACCGCATAATTCCCTCCATGATGGAATATCGTTACTGTGAGTTTGACGTTTATCTGTAAATATTCCACAAGCATGTAAGTTTAAATCCTTGCCAGTGGCAGTTCATGGAAAATAATTTGTTTGAAAATCACTAAATTTGTAATATTATTTGTTAAGTTTACACAAATAAATTATTAACTTTATTGGTAAAGCAGAACAATGAAGTAGATAAATTGCGAGATTGCAAATCGATATATTTCTGTCTCCAATTATAAACATTTATTATACAATCTATTTAATCTATGTATACGGCATTAGATAAAAAGTAATATTAATTGTGCCAATACAAGATCATCGAATTAATTGTAGTGCGAAATATTACGCCTGTTAGCATTAATTGTCAAAAGATGTGACATTTAACCTTCTACTCGTGCAGCAAATAGTCTAGAAAAAGAGTTTTTAATTACAACTGACGAATATAAACAATTATTTAACATCTTCCGATATCTCTGATAAATTAAAAGGCGTGATCGATTCCGCGACGTCAGCTTCGGTAAGAGACATAAAAATATATCAACGTGAAGTTGAAATAAATCACAAGTGCGCCGGAGGACAGTACTCAGTACTGTTACGGGAATTATCAAAAGGAGCTTACTCTCTGTCATCTCAACATAATTTCGTAGTTTAAATATTGATGTAAACAAAAGAACGATCTCTCCCTGCGCTTGAGCCACGAAACGTGGAATGTATAGAGCGCACAAAACTCGGGGAAACGCGAAGGTCCACTAGCGGACGATGGAAAACCGCACGTAACCTCTGACCTAACCTAACCTGGGGATCGGACCAATCGTGCTCCGATATCAATTCCGTTAATAATCACTCATTATGTACGGAACCGTGTGTGAACAAATCTATTAATTGCACAATATTGCATTGCTCGAAGAATTTTCTCAGGTGAGATTAGGCCTTATTGCGATTTAGAAAAGAAAACACATAAAACGCACCGTCTACCCAACAAGGAAAATTATTGCGCACGTGCAAGGCGGAAGGTAGTATAAATAAACACACTACAAGACGTGGGCACACGTGTTGCGGCAAGACACTGTGAAATTCACGAAAAATAACAACAAACTATTGAAACGAGTTATTGGAGGAGACGCGCAGTCATGTTCGCAAAATTCGAGGAAGGTCAATTCAGCGACGCCGACGAGGATGCACCGCCTTGGCCGTAAGTTCCATACATTTGGCTTAAACAATTTAATTCTCGAGGGTAACCTTGAAAAACTGTGAGTCGAGGAACAAGGATATTCGCAAATCTGTTGCATTCACCTTTATCGTCGCCTTTACAAGAGAAGGCCACTGTTTCACGTTGTATCACTTTTTCACAGGCCGAACACATTCAAAGGAAAACCTTCATTTAACGTGGATTCCAAGGGGCGACTCGAGAAACGAGTGGCCGATCTGCACATTGTAGATAAAGCAACGGTCAATGAGGACAACGATGAGGACAACGATGAGGACAACGATGATTATTATTGCAGCAGTGATTATGATCTGGATGAGAAGACGAATACCGTCGTAAAGACAAGTTCACAGAGATCCAACTCTCAGACTGCGTCCACAAAGGTAACGAATTACCAGCCCAAGCACAAGCTGCTGTCCCGTTATGCGAATAAAATTAATCTGGAGAAATACGGGGGTCCGTCGTTGCCAAGCCACGTGGCCAACGTGCTGATCGAGAGCGACAAGCGGGTCGACAAAGATCGCGTGAGGACGAAGGACAAGAGCGATCACGCGACGACCGAGAACGTGCTGGACTCGCGCATCAAGAACAAGCTGCACAAGCTGTTCGAGAGGGGTGTGCTGGCGGAGATAAACGGCTGCATCTCGACCGGGAAGGAGGCCAATGTCTACTACGCGCGTTCGAAGAACGGGGACGAGATCGCCATCAAGATATACCGAACGTCCATTCTGACGTTTAAGAATCGGGAGAAGTACATCCGGGGCGAATACCGCTTCGACCACGTGCACTCCCTGCACAATCCGCGGAAAATGGTGAAGGTCTGGGCGGAGAAGGAATTCTCGAATCTGAAGCGTCTGGAGCAGGGCGGCGTGCGAGCACCGCGGCCGATTCTGTACGGCGGTCACATGTTGCTGATGGAGTTCTTGGGCTCGAATGGCTGGGCAGCGCCCAAACTTAAGGACGCTATACTTACGGAATCAAAGTCGAGGACGTTGTACAGAGAGTGTATCGAAATCATGTGGAGGATGTACAACAAGTGCAGGCTCGTTCACGCCGACTTGAGCGAATATAATGTGCTCTATCACGACGGATCGATCGTGGTCATCGACGTTTCGCAGGCTGTAGATCGTGATCATTGCAATGCGATGGAGTTCCTCAGGAGCGACTGTAGCAATATTACAGGTATGACAAAGAGAAACATTTTTGGCACTCTTATTTAAAAAAAAAAAAAAATGAATTTGATATATATATTTTTTTTATTTCAGCATTTTTCAAGAAACACAATGTGGGAGTTATGTCGCTTCAAGCACTGTTCGACTTCATAACGGATCCAACTATAAACCAAAAAAACATGGACAAGTATCTGGACATGTGGATGCAGGAGGCAAGACAAGAGGAAGATCCACAGCAACAGCAAGTAGAGGAGGCAGTTTTCAAGCAAGCTTACATTCCTCAAAGATTGACTCAGGTATCGACGATTACTGCAAATGCACACAATGCATGATCTTTTAGTCTACTTTGGATATTTTCGTAGGTGGTCAATGCGGAACGCGATATAAATCTCGCCAAGTCGGGAAAAGATTTGATTTACAAGACACTGATAGGCTTGAAAGCAGACTTGTCGAAGCCTGCGGAAACGCCGGAGATTCTCGCTAACAAGCACAAGGCAGATAAAAGTACGAAGGAAGGAAGCGATACTTGTACGTCTGCCGAGGATAGTGCCGATTCCGATAGCGAAAGCGAAACAGGCAGCGAGGATAATAAGAGCAAATTCGTAAATTCGGCCAGGCCTAGAAACGAAAGTCCCGAAAGTAGAAAAGTATGATATGTATTATTCATTTCTCTACGTAACTATGTATATTAGTTTTTAGTAGTCTTAGTCTAATTAATTTACTTAATCTTAGGCACGCAAGAAGGCGATTAAAGAACAGCAGGCGGAGAAGCGGAAAGTCAAGATAAAAAAGCACGTGAAGAAACGTAAAATAAAAGTATCAAAAGGAGGAAAATAGATGTATGAGAAAAAATTTAGGAAAATTAGTACGTTAATGTGTACATTAATAAGAAAATCATTTTATTTCTTCAGCTAATGGCTAATATGTTCAATTAATGGACATTAGTAATATTTAAACGTGCTCTTAAGTAAACTTACTTAAAAAAAAAAAAAGAATACACACAAAAATAGCAGGACGTGAATTATTTAGGAATATTTAAAAATATTCGAGAGTAATTTTACTTGGGTTCATAAAATGCATACATTACTTTTTTTTAACATTAGACGCGTTTAGTAAATAAAGCAGATTAGTGAACGCTCACTTAATATGATTGATTTTTGCCGTTCTTTGCCGGATCTGAGTAAATAAACTGGTCGTAACAAAGAATTGAGCGCTCACTGATCAAGCCTGTTCTGCTGAACGCGTCTATTGTTTAGTACTTTTTTGCTTTATTTTGTAATTTATTTCTTACTGTGGACAAAGAATGGCGCCACAATCGCGAGGAGCATAAAGACTATAAAGAATACCATCTGACATTCGATTTGCCAGAGCATGCTCGGGAATGTTGAGATTCAAACTGTTTGTCCGAAATTTCAATTGTCAAACAATGTAAAGATTGTATATATGATACAACAAACGCAAGGAAAATCAGCTTCGAAATGGAAGATCTGCTAGGTATTGTCTAAGAAGGAAAGAAAGAGCATTTTTTGAATCGGAGTAACATTTCGACATTCGCGACTGCACACACGTGTATGTACTTATTCATAAAATGATTTTTATCGGTGCGACCGCACGCTAGTGACGGATGCAGCCTCTATTGAGGAGAGATTTTTGACAACCGGTTGCGCGAGGCTCGATGCAAAACTCAAGGGCGGCATACCTTGCAGGGGTATCACGCAGATTTACGGTGCCGCCGGCACCGGCAAGACGCAGTTGGCCCTGCAGTTGTGCCTCACCGTTCAATTGCCGATAACCGCGGGCGGTCTCGGAGCTGGTAACGTTCGAAAAGTTTAGGGAAAGATGCATGATGACCTGCGCGAGAGTCTGAGAGTAAACAAGAGACTTTTCTCGCATCTCTGAAACACAATGCTCTATCTTTAAATTGTTGACACGAATACCATCTTTATATTATTGCGAGTATATTGATATATTAAATATAAAGTGATATATTTAAAAAAAAGATAATATGATCAAATTTACGAATAATACATTTCTACTTTATATTATATATTTGATATATTAAAAAAAGAATTAATATGATCATGAATACTAAATTTCTACTGTTATTTTCGATCCTTTTTCTATCTAAAATCCTCTTCAAATGTTCACGCTGTTATTATGAAATGTTTATGGTGAAATCATTGATGTTTAACAGGTGCCATATACATTTGCACAGAAACTGCTTTTCCCTCAAAACGCTTGCAGCAATTGCTGGAGAACTCGGAGATAGCTAAAACTCATTCTGTGAATGGGGATGTGATACTTGTGAGCCATATAGCTACCAATGTAATTAAAATATTATATCTAATAAAAATATCTATAATTTAGAGGTAAAGCAATCTAGAAATTATATCACTAACTCTGCATCCAACTCGCTAACGAATGTTAAAGGAGGAACTGGTGCAGTGCCTGCAACACAAAGTTCCAGTGCTGATGAATACTCGTAAAATAGGATTGTTAATCATCGACTCGATAGCTGCTCCTTACAGAGTAGAGGACTGGAGAGATGAGCTACAAGGCAAAACCAAGAGGAGCATTGGAAGGCAGTTACACGAACTTTGTAAAAATGACGACTTGTGCGTGATTTGCATTAACCAGGTAAACACAATTTTAGACACACTGTCATATCGTGTGTGCTGATACATCTGTTTTTTTTTTCCAGGTTACCGCGGTTATAGACGGTCACAGACTTATTTCTGAAGACGCGGATGAGCAACCAGCTTTAGGATTCACATGGTCGAGTATGATAACAACATCTATATATTTCTACAGAAGGATCTCGCGATACGCCTGCGTAATGCTAGCCTCGCACTTGCCGAGAATCGCTTTCCCATTCGAGGTGACCGAATCTGGTGTCAGGGCGACTGAGTAAAACCTACGATATTATCTGAGTGTAAATAAATAAATCTAAGTGTACGCTAAACAAAAACATGTCAACTTTATTCCGTAAGTTTGTATATGTCGCGAAATATATTCTCGTCCAAGCTTTTCGTTACATTCGTCGCTTTGTAATCGGACAGTATAGAGGCGTCGAACGGATCCGCCGTTCTCACATCTATATTTTCAATATCACAGTTCAATATTAACCTTGAAAGTAAATATGGCATTAATAAAATTATGTGTGCGTCCCAAACGGCGAAATATTCTATGTTAATTGTACCTAAGAGAATGAAGGTAGGTCCTGCGAGGCTCTACATCTTTGCCCTCGCTGTACGTATAGTCTCCTATGACCGTATGACCGATATGATGGCAATGTACTCTCAACTGGTGTCGTCTACCCGTGCCGGGCGCTAGCAAGATTTTGGTGGCGGGCTTGCCTTTCCAAAATCCACGCTCCAGCACCACGAGCGTTGTGTAAGATCTGCGCGGCTTGTCGCAAAAGATACTGTCGCTCGTGCACATCTTATGATTGCCGGACTTCTCTCGAATATCAGCACCTAGACCGGAGGAAGAGACCAAGCCTGTAGGGCTCTTTGTCAAACCGTTTGTCATTACAATGGTCGTTTCAATTTCTAACCAATAGGCTTGTCGATTACGATATGAGATTCGTGTATGTGGCCGTGTACCAATGCTAAATAGAACTTTTGCACTTTGTGATTCTCGAAGGCGGACGACGCCGCTCTGGCCGCCCTTTTGTTCAACGCTATGCACATGATGCCGCTCGTGGGATAGTCCAGCCGGTGGACAAAGTGGAATTCGTGGCACAGCCGTGGATTAACCAGGTCCGGCAGCATCTCCCGCAGCTCCGTCTGAAGAGTATTCTGAAAGCGTTCAATGCCTGACTTACGAACACGTTAATGCGGCACGCCTCGTGACGAGGACGTCCTCACCTTTCTGTCAGGATTATTACTGTTTATGTACATGTCATACGGCTTGTTGACTATCAAAAAGTTCTCGCTGCGGTGCATGATCCGGACGGGCCTGTGCTTCTCGTACCAATCGTTCACCAGCCTTTTGATGCACGTGCGTATCAAACGGATTATCGTGTACGTGAGATTGCAGACGATCAGCGTGCACGTGTGCAAGAATCTGTTGACGTTTACCCTGACCATTGTAGAGCAAGATGTTTATCACGACGCCGAGCGATGCTTCCACGTCGCGGCCATTTTCAGTTATGTATACATACATACACATGTGAAGGGAACGTTGTGTATGTATGTATGTATGTATTGTATGTACATGTAGAGTATTGAAAGAATACATAGACACATGCGTGTATTTACAAATAAATCTCATATTTTTGTGTTGTAAATTTATTTTACAGCAGTCAGTAATTCTGTGAATCATGGCATGTATACATATTATGCGCCGGATTTTCGTATACACTTCTGCGAGCTTGCGCGATTACGCGATGTAAACATGATGCGAGAAGCACGCAGATGCGTAAGAGAGAAAACAAGAACGAACGCACTTTTTTTTTGAAGGCGATTGAGAGGAATTATTTTTTTTGTTTCCTTTAGTCCCAGGTTATACGTTTTCCTTATTTTTAATTTCTGTTCTCCCTTAAATTATTTTTAACTTTTTTGCTTCCCTCAATTTTCTAAATTTCAATTAATAATTGTTCAATATGATCATAATGTTTATACATGTGCTGTACATGAAAAATTAATTTTCATTGCAAAATAAGTGAAAATATAATATATTTACTGGATCGTATAAGTCAATGGAAAATTTTGATTTGTTATTTGAAATAAGCAATATAATATCTACATTTGCGATGATAATAATATATTTTTTAAAATAAATTTGAAATAATAAATATTTTTAATAAAATAATTTTCTAATAAAATGAAAATAATAAATAAATGTTTTTTTTTTACTCCCGACTGCCGCCAACCGAAGGTTGGTTTAACACCGATATATAGCCTGTCAGTGGCAAACAACGCGGGGATTGTTTTCTTTTCTGATAATTGAAATTTCGAATTTTTAACGTCGTGGATTATCACATGGATAATTGATGGTGATCGGGAGCGTAGAGATTTGTATGCCGACATAGAACGGCTACGTTCTCATTTACACAGGTGACACAAAGCTCGCGCCGAGATAGATACGTATCTAGAGAGGAATCGTGTGCCACATACAAAACATCTTCTCTCGATGTGTGTATTCGCACAAGGAGATTGCATCCCGTCGTGTCTGCTTAATGTAAAATGTAATCGAGCGATCGAGAACGAAAGGATTTTTCATCTCATTACATCATATTTTATTTGCTGTAGCTTTCTACAACATCAACAAGTGATTAAAGAATCAAACGTATAATAAATTTACACAAGAATAAATCTTGATTATCACAAATGCATCGTTCAAATCAATCAAGTTATAATTCAAACATAAAATTGTACATTATTCGCGTTAATGTACAATTTTATGTGATACAGCCAAAACAAATTTAAAGTATATTAAATCTTCGGATGCAAAAAAAGCACTTTTTTGTTGTTCTTCACTGAGAAATGTATAAATTCAAATATCATTCCGGTTAGATTAAGTAAAAATAAAGTAAAAATTAATCGACGTTAAGAAGATCGATCGGAAACATTAATGAGTGCTCAGAGAGTTACTTCAAGTTATCTCGCGCACTTATTTGGTGCTTCGCGTGCAAATGTATGCACGTGCATGCACGTCGTCCGGGGAAAATTTGTGCAATCCGTGCATTCGTACCGAATGCAGGTGACGGTAGCGGCGGTACACGCTAAGATGAGACGGGGATACGTTATGCAAGTTTGCGCCACACAAGTCTGTTGCGTCAGAATGGATCGTCAGTTCTACGTGCAGAACGCGGAGAAGCGACGTTTAAGCTTTTTACATAATTGGAGGACATACATTTCGTGCGCGTGTCACCGATGTTTAAACATGTCGACCACAAAGGAGCAACTAGAAGTCGGCAAACTTTTTCTGTAAAGGTCTAGATATAAATATTCTAAGCTTTGCGAACCCAAGAAATACTTTCCACAAATGTTTTAAAACTCAAACAAATCTAAAATATGTGGTAATAATAACGATACATATATATGATAATAATGACTGTAATTTTTTTTACGACCCTTGCGTCAAAGCGTGTGGCTTTTCCGATCCTTCACTGACAGAAGAAAAATAAAATTAATTGAATGATGTGGTTACGTATATCATGATTAATTAAGCAATTAAGGACAGGATACATGTTGTCTGCGCTACGTGTTTCCATAGTCTTATATCCACACACACGCGGTAGTTCTCCAGTTTTACATCGCGAAGCTTAAGAAAGGACGCGGCTAAGCATGCATTTTTTACGTTCTTTCGCGCGCGGCGGATACATATCGAGGGCGATATATCAAGGACCGCGTCAAAGGCTCCACGCGAGACGATTTAGAGGTGCTCCAGATGATTACGGAGTTAACGATTCGCGGCGCAACGCTGACGGGAGTTCTCGATCGGCGAGATATAGAGCGCGAATCTGCTCGTGAGCATTACGCTTACGTATACACGTCGATCCGGCTCTTTTCCATCGATCCCGTGCAGCATCTTGTGACACACTTGCGTCGAACGTTGCTGTAAATCTTTGCCGATTGCACCAAACTATGATCTAGAAAACGCGGATGAGCCCCGGGATATATAAAGAGCGTAGCGGACCTCGTGTTTGTCATTCCCTCGAGAAATTCATTCCGCGCTGGAAGGGTAGCGACGACAGGCAGGGAGAGCGAGTCTCCCCCGGAGGGATAGAGTAACAGAAATTCGATTTCCTTTTTGCCGCTGGAAACACATTATGGGAGTCGTCGATATGCTCAAGGTGAGAAGAAATAATACATTAGCTTTATGAAACATGAAGCTAATGGATGTATCTTTGAATATATCGAAATGTAGAAATTACTTTGTTGAGAAGTCGATCACGAATTCATTAAAGTATATATTTGTTTTTGTCGTCGATTACAAGTATTGTATTTATGTCATACATACGCTTTCAAATATATTTTTTGACGATACTGTACTTAGGATTTCATCTCGGTAAAAATTTATATAGAAGGATAATATGTGTTATAAATTCTGTTACTAAAATAAATTCCACAGCATAGGAAGCGCGTATAATTTCGAAAAAACAACCAACGTAGCATAAATCATACAATTAATTGTTTAATTTGATGCAAGATTAAACATAAATTTGATGATCGTTTGATATTTTGGAGCGAAATTAATATTAACATAATTTTATTACAGTTTGTAACACATACTTTATGATTTAAAAAATTTTGTAAGATTGTCGGTATCTCATATTATAATGGCGCGCTATAAAATTCTTGTCGCAGATCAGTGGAACGTTTATCGTGATGCTGACTGTGGTGCGTTCGGAACCTCCGGTTAATTCGTATCTACCTTCAAGAACGGGCACATCCGGTGCGAATGGCGGCCTATCCACCCAGTACGGCGCACCAGATTTCAATAACGGCGGTGGCGTTAATAGAAACGTTGGCGCAACAAGTTTCAGCGGGCTCGGCGGTAACGGCGCAGGTAATGGTCCGTCGAAACTTTACGACGTACCCATCGGGGGAAATGTCGGCGGAAATGGTCAGTTTCAAGGAAACGGATTCGGGGGTGGACCACCCTCTAGCTCTTACGGCGCTCCCGACGGTGGCTTTGGTGAAAGCCGTGGCAACGGAGGAAGACCGTCGACTAGCTACGGCGTTCCCGACGCGAGTGGACGTAACGGGGGTGGTTACGGAAACGGAGGTAACGAAGGAAGACCGTCGACTAGCTACGGCGTTCCCGACGCGAGCGGGCATGATAGGGGTGGTTTCGGAAACGGAGGCAACAAAGGAAGACCGTCGACTAGCTACGGCGTTCCCGATGCGAGTGGGCACAACGGGGGTGGTTTTGGAAATGTGCAGGGCAACGAAGGCAAGCCGTCGACTAGCTACGGCGTTCCCGATGCGAATAGGAACGAGGGTAGTTTCAGAAATACAGGCAACGAAGGAAGGCCATCGACCAGCTATGGCGTTCCCGGTGGAAACGGGGGTGCTTTCGGAAGCGGAGATTTCGGAGGAAGACCGTCGACTAGTTACGGCGTTCCCGGGGTGAACGGAAATCACGAGGGTGGCAGCGGAAGACCCTCGAGCAGTTACGGCGTACCTGGTGCAAATGGAAATACGAATGGCAAAGGTCGTTTTAACGACAGAAATAGTGGCGGAAGACCGTCGAGCAGCTACGGATCCCCGAATGAAAGTGGATTCGGTGGAGGATTATCAACCAGTTACGGTCCACCTAGTAGAGGTGGAAATGGTAACAATGGCTATCCATCTGCAGGAGGCTCAAACGGAGGAAGTTTCGCAAACGGTGGGACTAACGGCTATCCATCTGGAGGTCCAAATGGAAATGCAGGGAATCTCGGGCACGGCGTTGGGAGTTTTGGAAGAGGAGAAGGAAGAGAAGAAGGAGGAAGAGGTACAGGCGGGGGCTATAACGACAACGCGCAAGAGGAAAGTACTGTAAGTGTATGAATTAAGATAATATCTTGTTAAGATAGGTAATTGGACCAGAAGCGAACGCGGCGATTATCCGAAGTGGTTCGTAGAATAATTTTCTTCAGAAATATACCAGGCCTTCTGACAGTTTTGTCAAACTACTTTTATTTCGTCGGTAACTTTAAAGATTTATTATCTCATTTTCAGGAGCCGGCGAAATACGAGTTTTCATATAAAGTGAAGGATCAGCGAACCGGCAGCGATTACAGTCATACGGAGACTAGAGACGGTGACCGAGCTCAAGGCGAGTTCAACGTTTTGCTTCCAGACGGTAGGAAGCAGATTGTCGAGTATGAGGCTGATCAGGATGGATTTAAACCGCAAATTAGATACGAGGGCGAGGCGAATGCCGGCGATGGATACGGCTCCGGCGGAACGAGTGATAACAACGACGGCTATTCTTCTGGTCGACCAGGTAGCGAAAGCGGTGGCTTCGCGAATAACTCAGGATTTAATGGAGGCGGTAGTAACGGCGGTTATCCAAGTGGCCCCGGCGAGGGAAAACTCGGCGGATTTAATAGCGGAGGCGGCAACGGTTATCAGTCGGGAAGACCAGGTGCGATAAGATATTGCGATCCGCCATTTAATTGAGTCAAAAAGTGACAAGAGAGACAAGTAGAAATTTTGGAAGAATATATTAAATAACTTTTAATCTTTGTGAAGAGAAATATTTAAATTTTGTATATAAAATATATTTAAAAATTTAATTTTTAATAATTTTAAAATTAAAAAGTATCTTATATTAATATTCTCCCTTCTAGTAGATTTTTCTATCACTATATTTCTTTTTAACTTCTATTTAAATAAAATAATTTAAGAGAGCACATCATTTCCGCAGAAAAATAATAAATTACTTTGTGCATATACTTTAACATTTTGTTTGTGGATTCTTGGATTGAAATTTGATTTATATTTTATAGCGGGACAATCTTTTGGCCGAGACAATGACGGTGGTTTGAGCGGTGATATCGGCGGTTACTTTTCCAATCCTCCCAGCAATAACATCGGCGGTGGTGATAACGTGAACGTTGGAAGAAACAGGCAAAATAGCGGTAATAGTGGATATCAATATTAAAGAAACATTGAACACATATTTCAATAGGTTTAGAGATTATCACTGTTCTGGAATTTTGCAAAAGGAAAAAGAGAACCAAGTGAAAAAAAATATTTAGCATAAATTTATCTGCATATTTAGCCAAATATTGTTTAAGAGTAGTCACACGCGGATAATGGGAAACTTCGATATTACCACATTATTGTATTATTATCCATTTACGAGATTTTTCCAACAAAAGAAACAAATTTATTAAAATACGAAGATACACATCTCTTGCGCTTTATAGATTCGTTAAATATAAAAATCGCAAATTAATATTTATTATTAATGTTCTGCATTCATAGCACGACTTATATATTTAAACTTATGTAGCAACCTTTAGTTAGTGAGCAAAAAAAAAAGAAAAAATAAACGAACGTCTAACCGATATTGATACAAATCTTTCTTCATCATTGTAAAAATACTTTTCTCCATATGACTGTCCACTGCGATCAGTCGAAAGATCTATTTCTATGCTTTTTTTTGAAAAGCAAACATGTATGAAAATTACGTAATCGCAAAATTATAAAGGCAGATATGAACCGTTAGGTATATGGAATTAGACATTGTATGTGCAATGTACATGTGCAGCTGCGTAGAATAATTTCGTCCTCTTACGCCGAACTAATTTCACACTTCCGCGGCGTGCTCGGGGGAGCGCGACCTTAAGGGACCCACTCGCACGACGCCGCTCATACGACAAAGATTAACACGCGGCAGAAACACGGCCGATGTGTACAATTACGCAGCTCCGTATCCGGCTTGCGTTATATCTCGTGCGACCCGCTCGCTCGGCCGGGCCGCCGGCAGGAAGTCGAAGTCGGCTTGGTCCGTACAGCCACGTGTGAATCTCCGGGTATTAAAACGCACAGGGTACTGCAGCCGGTCGCGGTTTCCCAAACGGCCCCCGCGATGTGCTTCCCCCCCTCCACACACACACCACACACACATACTGGACGGACAGGAGAATCGTAAAAGGTGACGCAGAAGTCAGCCTCCGATTCCGTTGCTTTTGCCGGCGACCAAGAGTCACCAAGATGTAAAATTACTGAAATTCGACCGAATCGGAAAGAACGAAAAAATAATCCTGCGAGAAGAACTGTCCAAAAATATCTAATCCTCTATTATTCAATATTTTTAGAGAGAGAGAGAAAGAGTTATAAACAAAAAATAAACAAATACGCTTACAGGTGTAACATTTAATTTAAAATTGTTACGCGTTTATTGCAGTTTGAGGCTGTTCTAGAAAAAGCTTAGCTTTGAAATTTATGTTTCCTGGAAAGCTTTAAAAGCGAGAAAAATGATTTATTTCACTCTTCTCCTTAAGAGAAATGTCTGCATAAATATTACTGTCCTGAAACGCCTTTCACGCAAATCCCAGTGTTTTTTTTTTTTTTTTATAATAAAATACACCTTTGTCCGCCTGTATTGCGTAAGTTTCGCGCAGGACGATTGTGCGTCTTAGTTAGGTGGACACTTTCGTGACGCGGCGTGAAATTCTCGTGCATTCACACGGGACGACGCATCGGCAATATTTCATAATTAGTTGCAATTCAATTTGTACGGCGACGATATGCGTGCGCGTATATGCGTAGACGCACGCGTGCAAACGCGCATAAATATAGCCAGGCACGACCAGGAACAAGAGAAACAGGTTTCAGCCACACGGTACCGTAGATCCTTAAGGCATCATTGAAGCGAATGGTAAACCAGCTGCGCCCGCTGCTCGGGATTTCACTGTAAATGTCAACCTCTAAGGCACGCGAAACGTCCCTCCGATTTAAAGGAAAGTCGTTCCGCAAGCCGCGAGGCCGTATAATAAAGTCGTTGCGCGAACGCGGAGGGATGAAAGACGCGAAGAGGGTGTTCATTCAACGACCGACTCTCGCGCACGCCTCCGGGAGGATGGCTTCACCCTTGTGCGATCATCTCTCCGCCTCGTTCTCGCATGAAAATATTAGGGAAGAAACGAAGAGTTAACGCTTCCTCCAGCTTTCGAAGGATCAATTTTTATAATGGATCGCTTTATAATCATGAAAAAAAAGTCAATGGTTCACATTAAAGTGAAAAAATGAGAAATGAAACGTATACGGGATAACAATGTGGGACTTTTTGCCAATCGATTCGTTTAAGCGGCGTATTATTAGCGGCTAGAAGCCCGAGATCGAATAATCCGATATTCATAGGCGATCGTAATTGACGCGAGGAGATTCTCGCGCTGTCCCGCACTTTCCAAACTTTCCTAACGCGACGGCCGTTTTTTTTAATTTCGAAAGGCGAAAAAGTTATTGTTGTACGCGTTGCGGAGCGACGTAGCCCCGTTACGCTTAAACAGAGATACTTGCCGGGCACATTAGAAAGTTGCGGGGTTTATGAAAGTACACGAGCCGAAGCATCGTTAATTACCGCTCCTCCGCGAGTGCGAAGTGGTCTAACGTCCACGAGGATGCTAAACGCCCGCCCTCGCCGCCAAGGATCAGTCTAATTATTTTATGACGATGTGAAAATTACCAGATCATCGCAAGACAATTTCGCGCCATTCGGTTCTTCCTGTCGGCGAAGTCTAAAAGATTTCACACATATCTTTAAAACATGTTCTCATGTCACTATGATTCTGTGCCTCTCGATTTACTAAGTTAAAAAATATATTATTTTTAAATAATTAATTAGTTATATACAAATTCATATTTATGCAATGATTTAAAAAACCTTGATATAAATATAATATTTATCAATAAACAATTAGCTTTATAATAACATATTTGTATAATTAAAATAACGTTTATTTTATAAGAATAAGAATATCTATTCTTCCTGTCTTTTTTGTCATTTATAAAAATTACCATCATGATCACTCTCGCTTTACATTTTGACGAAGAACCAGCGTGTGGGAAAAATTATCTCGTCTAGATAAGTAAGCTGAAAATGATCCTCGGCATCTGATAAATCTCACACCTCGGCATAACGTTTCGCGACGAGGCGTCTCGTTACCGGGCGCTCTGCACTTAGGTGTTTTCGGCCATATTCGGCGATGCATCCGGGCATCTTTACGATCCCAGGCAGGAGGACCCGTCGGTAACCCCATCGGCCGCTCTCACCGTCCTTCCCCGTCCCTCTCTCGCTCCTCTCGAAACGTAATCGTTTTTGCAGCCGGTCCGGTTCTCGGCGTCACCGACCTACCGGAACGCGTCGCGCCGGGCTCGAGCGCGACGTCCGACCGGGGGCCAGGTATGAAAAGACGAAACGGACACGCGGAAATTCCATCGTGATTTTCGCTCCGGCGCTTCCCTTTTTGCATCTTTGCACGCGCATCAATGAGCTCAAGGATATAGAAGTAAAACCTCTTCCCGTCTTCCAAGATCCATGTGTGATGGGATTCTCTCGTCGCGGCCTCGCTGAATAAATCGCCTAGAGATATTATTCCAGTATCTCGCCGGAAAACAAATAAGAACAGAAATAATTTGAGAATATCCGTGCTGCTTCCAACGCCTCGCCATTGTATAAGCTACAGGCTTCCTCTGGATCTCGGAGAAATGCTCTATCCCAAGATATTCCATGCGTTATACCTCGTTACGGATGCTGGGATGAATCGCGAGGAACGCGTTAGCATTGAAAAAGAGCAACTTCCTCCTTAGCAACAGTCGAAAGTAGAAAATCATGCTACTAAATTTAGATTAAAAGTGGACGTTGAAGAAAATACAAACGCTTGTTGCTGAAGTAAGAGTACCCGAGGCGCAGCAGTGCAGCCCGCCTCTCATTCTACAATCCGATTCTTATGCGCAAATCCGAAGGATCGTTCCGACGAAGCCGCGCAGCAAGTGCAGCTATTTCTCGCGGGAATTTATCGTGAAGGATCCCTCCCGAACGGGTCTTAAAACCGGGTGACTTCTCGCAGGACAACGTATCGAAAGAAAAATCCAAAAATATCCTCGGGGCCCCCCCGTTCGTGATCCCATGCGAAGAAGGAGAGAGAAAGAGAGAGAGAGATATCCTAGCGTCCCGGCAAAAAGAAAGAGAGAGAGAGACAGATTGAGAGGATGGCCCCTACTCCATTCGCGGAGAGCAAAACCCCACCACGGACGCTGCAAACGCACAGCGACGGGGAAGAGCGAGACGGGGTGGCCAAGAGAGCGGCGGCAGGACGAGAGCGAGAGGACGAGAGAGAGATACGTGGAGAGAAACGAAGAGGAGAGACCCCGGCGCTGTTCTGAGTTTTCGGAGCAGTCAGCGGCGGCGGCAGCGGCGGCGGCGGCGGCGGCGGCGGCGGCGGCGGCGGCGGTGGCGGCGGCGACGGCGGAGCCAGTTTCTCGTAGCTGCTCGTGCGGCGGCAGCCTGCGGCGGCATCGTGCCCGCTGTGTATCTCTCCCCTTCAGTATGAAGCCGACGACCGTGCCAGCTGCAGCGGCTGCACCTGCCGCACCGTCCTCGACAACGCGCGACCATCGTGTATCCCGCCGCGCCTGCGACGCGCGTCGCCGTATCTCCTGATCGTCTCTCGTGAGAGACGAGACCCCGCGCGCGCGTTTCGGAATTCTTCGTCCCCGTCCCGTTGAGAGGATCCCGGCGGGATCCTCTCCGCGCAAGCGGATCAATCGGGCCGAAAGGGGAAAATCGCGTGATCGCCGATTCCTCGTTTCTTTCTCCTCCGCCTCGCTCGCTTCTTTCGTTGACGAGAAGTGCCGAGATTCGTCGAGAGGCGCGTGCTCGCGCCCGTGCACGTGTCGTGCACCCAGGTGGACAGAGATATAGTCGCGCCTGCATCTGGTACGCGCGCCGCGGGCGAGTTATCATCGCGGGTCAGAAGAACTGTGTGATACGCGCGCCAAGGAGGCGCGGCGCACCGGCTCTCCCGGACTAAAAGTGAAAACTCGTCCTATACGTCCTTCTCGTTTATCACCTTCAAATCGGACTCCCATCGTCGGTGATAGCCTTGGTAATTAGGCGAGAGCGCAGAGGCAGGCATCGTGCGGGATAGTGCGACGATCACTCGTCGCGGCAAGGTGAGTCCCGATTCCAGTCTCGAGGGTCAAGAGCGGTCAGATCTCTCGCGCGACGAGACGACGGGCGAATTCGGAGTCTTGAGATTACGAAATTTAATAACACACACATTCAAACATTTTCAACGGCCGAGTCCTATTATAATTTTAATTACGAAAGATTACGTGCTGCTTTCTTTTTGCTCTCTTTTTTTTATACAGGTTATATTTCATTTTTTAATTAGTACATAATAAATGTTACTTTCGAAAGTTTTTTTTTTCGATAACACAGGTGTGATTTATGTCCTTCGAGAAACTTTGGAAATTGTTCTCATAAACAATTCATAAAATTTCACTTTTCCGCGAGCAAATCTCATTAAATGTTCTATTCCAATGATGTAATTATACATTGTATAAATTATGTCATTGTATAATAAAACGCAGTTCGAGATGAAAACAGAAATATTCGTATAATTTCAGAGGAGTGTCAAAAGAAAAAAAAAGAAAGGAAATATATATATTTACAAGATAATATAGAAATAAATTAAAAATAAATTAGAAACACAATGATTGCAATTGGAATTAGTTGAATCTATTTAGATTCTCTATTCTCAGCTGTGGAATTTATTCTCCGTTCGATGCGATATATCGTACTACTGATTGTCGTGCTAAGATTTAATTGGCATTTCGTTGGCGGAAACTTGCTGTCTAACTTGTCATCGTATAAATGACGCGGAGACACTCATTTGTACAAATAACGTGTGAGGCCTTTCTTTCACCGCCAAAAAAAAAAGGAAGAGAAACAACATTTATCTTCGCGCTTCCGCCACGCGGCTTTACAATAATAGCGCAACGATAATAGCGTTAATAACGGCGCGCCGTGCGGGGGTCTTCATTAATGCTAGTCGACGAGAGATGGTCCTTTGAAAGCCTGAGAACCCGGATGATTTACCGTCGTCGTCTCGTCACGACGAGACCGTCCCGACGATTTATTCGGCGGAGGTCGATGGTCTCCTTTTCCGCACGAATCGACGAGAGAGGCCTGGCCGCGACCTCGACCTCGGGAAATAACGCGGAATTACCATCCGGGATGGCTAAAGCGGCCGGGGATAATGTAACGTGGGACCTCGGGGCCAGGAGAGACGATCGCCTGTGGTATAGTCGCAACAATTCTCGCTAATGTGTTGCATTAATCGCGAACTATTCTTCCGCTCTCTCTTTCTCTTTCTTTCTCACTCTGCCTTCTGGGACAGACCACGCCACGCAATATCGGAGCCGAGTAATATTTTGTTAGATTTTAAATTGTGGGAGCAATTTTGTAAAAATATATATCTAATTAAAAATAATTAATAACTTTTATATAGCTCTATTATATTTAAAATTCGATTGAAAAGTTTTCAGTTCCATATTATTTAATTTTACTATCCTACATCTACCATCGTAGTTATCTTTTGCGTGAAACTCATTCTCTTCAAACAAACAATTTTTAGATCGATAATTTTCGCGCTGTCGGGTCGCAACCTCAATTTTGAGAGGTGAAAAATTATGGTTGCGGCAGCGTAACGCCCTCCGATTGATTTGTGTTCAAGTCTTGGCGACGCAGGCGCGGCTTCCTCTCTCGGGCACGATCGCGCAACCGTCTTTCGTCTTCGCGATCCGCGACTCGCGTCGGCTCTCCGCCGTGTTTCACGCGCGTCGCAATTAAAGTCGCAACTTGTCTTCGGCGACATGGCGACGTCGTGTCCTGGGGAGAGCTAACCGCGAGCGCTGCAGTCATTAACTACCGACACAATGCCGGGCAATTAAACTGGTTTGTGTTGTCCCCGCGCTCGCGAGAAACTCGCTCAATCTAATTTCCATGGCAATCTACTTAATTATCTCGACGGTTTTCGGACCTTCGGTCGGAGACGTTCGCCGTCGGTTAAGAGAGGACATATATGCCTCTCGGGAAAGTGATTATTTTTCGCCGTGGCACAATAATATTGCCGCGGCGTTTATCCATCGTTAACCCTTTCGATCGCGTGGGGTATGAAAGCGAGCGTCTCGGGTATCGATGCCCGGCATGTTTTCACAGAGAGTGCCTCGGTAATACGGTATATATATCGTAAAGGACGTTGCAGGTAGAAAATAACGTTCCGAAGAAAGGTCGCCTGAACCCTCTCCTTACGTAAACGGCGCTTTCCCCCTTGGTTAAGCTCTCTTTCAAAAGCGTCGGCTTATCTCTCAACTTTCACAATAACCAAACAAGAATAAATAGGGAAAAAATAATCGCGGGATCGAGGACTGCCCCTTTTTCTGCAGCGGTACCATATATCTCGTTTTGAACTTCGTGACCCGTGATGGCGTTTAACGTCCGTGGAAAACTCGATGTTCGTCATAGTAAAATCGTTCGCATGGGAGCCGCAGAAGTGGCACACACACGAGCAGGTGAAAAACACATAAATACGCCGCACCTGTGCGGGTATACGCATTCAATGCGGTATTAATTGAGGGTATTTAACGCCCATATATTATCGTCGTGACACAAATAAATTCTATACGGGAGGGACGGTGGCGCGTAATACAACGCGCCATCGATTCTCGTTTCGGCTGATAACAGCTGGTAAGACACGGCTGGCCAAACTCGTTCCTATTATCGTTTAATAATAATCTGCCGATTTGTCTTCGGGTGAAACGGGACTAGAACGCACGCGTACGGGCGAGAAACAGTACGTGAAAATTGCGTAACGTCTGATTCAGGCGAATCGAATACAAATCCCGTGTACCGTTTGACGTCTTTTCAAGAAAGACCGGTAACACACCAACCACAGTACGTGCGTATGTCTTTATCAGTCTTTTTTCAGTACAGGCCAATTAAAACTATACAGTATGTGCGTATGTCTTTATCAGCTTTTTTTCAGTACAGGCCGATTAAAATCAGAGTAATGATTAATACGTGAGAAACTTTAATTGCAGCGTATTGCGTCACGTTATAGTGTAAAGAGAAACAAAACGCGTTTTCCGGTGGTGCACAGTATCCTCTTGCTCATTGTTATTTAAAGAAACGAATGAAAAATAAATTTATTCTGTCGCAAATAATTATTTCAAAAATAGAACGAAATGAAATGAAGAACCTGCGCCTACGTTGCGAGATTAATTGCCAGACTCCGTAATTATCGGACGCGTGTGCTGCGAGATACGGCAAACGGGGTACAGGTGTGGAAAACGGGTTATCTTCGCGAGACGAGTTCGAAAACGATATGCGCGATCGTGGACGCGAAGTCGATCGTTAAGTAAGTCGACGGCCAGTCGAGTCGCCAGTAAAGATTAGCGCCGCGCGCGGGCAGTGCGGCCGCGCCGAGCGCGAAACGTGGCGGCGCAAAAGAAGATTACGGTTCGCCCTGAGAGTACATCGTTACGCGGGGGCCTTTTATGCCCGGCTCAAATCGCCATTTAGGTACTGTTTACAACGATTCCCAAGCCCGCGCGGTCGGGACTGCTACGACCGCGAAATGGACTTCTCCTCGCGTAATACGGCCGCGGGAATCGACGAGGTTGAAAATAAGTTCTCGGGAAGTTATCCAATCCCATAAACCCTTCAGCTCACCGCGATTTAGATCCCGGTAGTATTTTGCGATAATTAGAAAATTGTCGCGTATTAATCGTCGACATTTTGCAAGATCACCGTTACACTTATAAGTACAATAGACAACGTCCCGCGGGAATTCTGCCGACCAGCCGATAATCGGCGTCGAATCTCAATCGCCCGCTCTTCTCTTCGATTTATCTTCGCTTGGTTTCGCTTCGCCCGACAGGTTGAATGCTTTCTTCGTGACTTACGTAAAAGCGTCAAACATATATATATTTTTTGATACGCGGCCCGGACTGTACCTGATAAAGCCGACGAGGCGCGCGTGGTTCCAGCGACCTTCACGAACGATCGGTTACTTGTCGCGCCCGCACACACGCAGTTACGTTCGCCGCGTATTCTCGATTTATTTATAGTCGACCTTTAACAGTACTCTTACTCGCGGATCTTTTATATATCCCGAAGGAAAGTTGGACGGTAAGAGCCCATTTTACGGGCGCAGCACTCAAGCCGCAGCGCGGTGAGTGCATCGAGCGCGTAATTGATCGATAGCTAACTATCTTTCCCAGGAGCGTTACGTGTACGGAGAGAGACAGAGAGAGAGAGAGAAAGACGGTGGAAGAGAAAATTATCGACCTGCGCGCGTTTACCGTCTCCTCCCTCGACAGACGAAGAAACAGATATATCCGGCGCGCGCGATATGTATTTCTAGCTTCGAGAAATCCGATTGTCGTACGACAAAACCTGCAACGAACGCGCGTGTAGCCGAACATACGTGATCTGCGCGTTTCCTATTTCCGAACTCTCACTTCGCGCGCGCGACGATTGCATTAGCTAATGTTTAATTGCGAGTTCGCAAATGCAGAGAATTGTGAAATTAGTCGCGCTACATGGCAGCCCGCGCGCGGTTTCTTCAATTTCGCGAGTTAATTCATTTTTACATAACGTCCTCGAAAAATCTTCATCTACCCGCCAGACTTTCCCGTTCGCTGACCTTACGACGACGTGGTAGATCGAGGGGGAGGAGAGAGAGAGAGAGAGAGAAAGAGAGTTCCTCAACCCATTCCCGGTAGTAACAAGGCTAATGGAGGAACGATCGTGTTGGTCGGCTTTTCGAAGTGCCGCGGCGTACACGCGCGCGGGTAATTTCTCCTACGCTTGATTCCGCGAGAAAAACAAGACCGTAGGAAGAGGAACACACGATCGACGCGCGCCAACACACTCACTTGTCACTTACTCAGCGGACCATCCGACGCATTAAGCGCGGCAGAGGATTCGAACATTATTTGTAGTGTTTCACTTTTACAATTGGAACTTTCGAACGAGGTACATCGAAGCCTCCGTCAATTTTAGTAAGCAGAAGATTTACATGCCTTTTCTTCAGTTATTCGTGGAATTTTCATTATTTAAAATTTTGAACAAGAGAAAGCTTGAAGAGAATAATAATTAATATTAT